CAGGGCACATGCCCAGGTTGTGGGCCCAAGTTCCAGTGGGGGTCATGCAGGAGGCAGCCAATCGATGTTCTCTCTCATCGATGTTTCTATCTCTCTCTCCCTTTCTCTCTCTCTAAAATCAATAAAGAAAAAAAGTGACTCCTAGCTATCCTACATGTGCCATTTCTAGGAAAAGGGCAGGTTTAAGGAGAAATATGGTGGGTTGGTTCTGAACTAGTTTGCAGAGCTTACCAGACGTCCAAGTAGGGAGTCAATTGGGTGAGTGGATGGGGGGTTGTATATGGGGGTGTGGAGCTCTGAGATGAGGTGTGGGCAGGATACACATAGAGAAGCCTTCCACATCTAGAAGGAAACTGGGAAGCTGTGGGTGAGGTCATCACAGAACAGAGTGAGAAGTGTAAGTAAAGCAGACCAACATCTAGACCCTAACAGCACTTAACATTGATGGGTTTGGTAGTACATGTGGAGGAGAGATGGATAAAGAACGCCAGAGAAGTAGGAAGAGCAAAGAGGATGTGTCTTCATTATGGCCCAAGAAAGAAGTGTTAAAGAACGGAGGCATCAACTGTGCAGAAGGTTTCTGAACATTCAAGTTGATGAGGACAAGAAAAGCATCCCCTTGGGTTTGGCTACACGGGGGCCGGCTGCTAAGCTGTTTCTAGAATGACAATGTCCCCACCTGTGTCCTTAGCTTCATGTTCTCAGATATGGGGGTAATAGTGCAGAGATCAAGTTTGGGCCCCTGCAAATACAGAACTTCCTTTTTCAGTTGTTCTCTAGCATGTGTTAACATAAATGTCAGCCAAGTTGCAACTGTGCTGTGCTACACGTCACTCACGCGGTGTCCCTGCCCATAGAATGGCAGGTCGGCGGCTCGGCGGAAGGGGGGAGGCGGCGCGCCTGCGGAACAGCCGCGTCCGATTGGCTGAGCGCGGAGCCCCGGTGATTGGTGGAGGCAAAGGAGGCGGGGCGCCGGCAGTGCCTTTTCTCTCTGCCTGTACTTTCGTTCTCCTGCGCTGAGTCTGCAGAGCGGTCTCGCCTCATCTGGAACGACACTTATCAGACCCCAGACCTAGCAGAGGCGACCCGGTGCTCCCGGGAGAGGCAGCACCACCGCGCCTTCGCCCTTCTCTGTTTTACCCAGCGCGCAGAGTGAGTGAGCATGAGGTTCCGGGTGCCAGGGTGGGCTGCGCCCGAATCGGCGGCGTTGGGGCGGGGCAGCGGGACGCCGGGAGAGGACGGGTTTTGCAGCGCTGACAGGCCGTCACCCCGGAAAGAAGTGTCCAGAGTATCCCAAGTGCTGTTCTCAGTGACAGTGACGGCACGGGTGCCCCTACCAGTCGTGCTCTGGCAGTAAAGATGTCTTGTGAAATACAATTTCCCCCTAGAAAACACTGCATCTCCTCATTTACCTTCATGATTCCTTCCTTCCAGCCCCTTTCCACCACACTCGCGTTTTCTAATTTTGGCAGAAAGTTTTCATTTGCCGTGTCCCACCCCTGGAGAACTTTCTAGGTTAGAAGCTCGCATCCAGTGCATGCAAACCCAATAGTTTTGACACCTGAAGTACTCTGTGTAGCTGCTGCTTAAGTTGAATCCCCAGCCCCTCGCTAGGGCATAAGGTGATAAAGGTCAGTAAATGTTCCTGGAAATGAATGAATGATTACATGACTTTGGAACTTAATTATGTATGTATGTATGTATGTGTAAGGATAAAGGAGCTTAATGTCTTCCTAAAATGTAAAAGTGATATTTCCTTCTTGCAAACCCCCAAATAATATTTGTTTTAGTTAACCTTTTTTGACTAGTACTGAAGAGTTTGGGGTAGACACATAGATAGATGTGTGGTTGATTGTGCTTTGGATGTTGTTTATGTAGGTTGAAGAGGTTGTTGTTTTTATGGGATGGAAATGAGACTTGAGCCGCCAGTATGCAACAGTTGCTTAATGAGGATGCAGGACTCAAACTTGGTCCATAATATGGTTTGCCCTTTACTTTCTATTGCAGTCTGAAATATACTAGATTTCCAATTCAACAAACTATTATTGAGTACATTATATGTGCAGGACTCTGTTCAAGGAGCGGAGGATTTTTTGTTGTTGTTGTTGTTGTTAAGTCCTGGCCCCTGCAACCCTGGAGCTTACATCATGCATGGGAGACATCCCAGAGCTTTATAAGGAAGATAGGGACTGATGCTCCAATAGAGATACAAAATGCAAAGAAAGCTTAATTGTATCTGGGTAAGACTCTGGCAGCTTTATGGAAGAAGGGGCATTTGTACCTACCTTTGAATACTGGTAGGATTTAGAGAGACAGGCATTTGTGGAGAGACTGTTTTCAAGGGTGAGTGACAGCAGGAGCAAAGCAGAAATGTTGGGCATAGTCAAAAACCCAGAGAGAATTTGGTTACTGGGTTGCTCTCTTAATAGATGAAAATAAGGTCAGGGTGGAAATCAGCATAAGAATAGGCAAACTATAGCAATTCTGAGCAAAAGAGTGGTGTGGTCCAACCAGAGTGCAGCAGTAGGCTGGATTGGAGAATAATAGTGTCGGAGGCAGGGAGGTAGGAGGTCTTGGGACTAGAGTGGAAGGAGTCAGCCTGTAAATTAGGATTCAAGCTAGGTAATTTGGAGAAGGGCATGCCAATCGCTGTGTTACTAACATTTTGTAAGCTGGTAAGATGGATTCTGGTTTTGTTAGTGTGAATTTATTGATTGCCTGCTCTGTGTCAGGTGCTGGCTCTGTGCTAGTTCTCTAATCTTAACAACCACCCTGTTGATAGGCAAGTGAGTCGCCCGAGATCACTTGCCTAACAAGGGCTATTGCAGCCTCCACTGGCGTACACTTTGGCTAGCATATTTGTTTTAGGCACATCCTTCTTAGACACTTAGCAGGGAAGAAGAGAACCACAGATTTGGAGTCTTCTACTCAGGTATAATAAATTTGAAATGAAAATCAAATTGCTACAGAAAGTGTGCCAAAACAGTGGGCTTGGGCCCTGGCCGATTTGGCTCAGCGGTTGGAGTGTCAGCCCGCAGACCAGAGAGTCCCAGGTTCGGTTCCTGCTAAGGGCATGTACCTCAGTTGCAGTTTGTCCCCTGCCTGGTTGGGGTCATGTGGGTGGCAACCATTCGATGTGTTTCTCTCACATTGATGTTTCTCTCTCTCTCTTCTTCCCTCTCTCCCTCTGACTTTATCTAAATTTTTTAAAAAAGAGTGGGCTTGGTTCCATTTCTACTGGTATTGGTGATGGTAGGTAACTAGCTTTGTATTCCCACCGTATCCTTTTTTTCCTTTGGAAGGAAATTTGTTTAGTAGCTGTGACTTTATGCCTGCACTCATGTGCTCGCCAGCAAGCGCGTATACATTCTTCCAGGCTCTGCTTGAAAATCCAGACCCCTTCCTCAGAGGTCTGATAGGACAACATTCACTTATATCCTCTTTGAATGTTGTCAGACGCGCCTGATTAAACCTTAAATTATGCCATGGTGATGGGAGGTTCTTCATTTTCCTAATGGATGTTAGGACTTCCTTAAATTAGGTTTTTATTTTAATTTTTAATCTTTAGAATTGCTGTGTAAAACTTGACTTACAGTTATCCAAAGAGATAGTATTACTTTACCCTTTCCAATTATACTTAATGATGTTGTTTCAATCTTTAAGTTATTATTGAGATTTAAGACTTTTTGTGCCAGATTTATTGTTTGCAATTGACAAAGAAGAAAACATATCTCTTTTTAAAAGCTGTAACAAAAATAATTCCTTTTACCCTATGAATCATAAAATATGAAATACCAGTTTAAAATTCTTTGAGTTAAATTACAGTTGTACTGTATATATATATTTTTTTATCCTCACCCAAGGATATTTTTCTATTTATCTTCAGATAGAGTGTGAGGGAGAGAGAGAGAGGGTCGGGGGGGGGGAGACAGAAACATTGATGTGAGAGAGACACATCAGTTGGTTGCCCCCTGCATGATCCTGTCCAGGGCCAGGAACTGAACCACAGTCGAGGTACATGCCCTTAACTGGAATCGAAACTGCAACTCTCTGGTCCATAGGCTGATGCTCCAACCACTGAGCCAGACCAGCCAGGGCAAGTACTGTAGTTTTTAAGAGAGCAGTTTTGGGAAGGTTCTTATGATTGTCCTAAAGTAGGTCTCAAGTTTTTTCCATTTATTTATTTGATAAAAGTACAGATTTATCTAAAAGGCATATTTATTGGACACCTACTATGTGCCCAGCACTGTTCTGGAGATGCAGCAGTGATCAAAACCTCCTGAAAATCCTTTTCTTCATGGGGGGAAAACAAAAGTAGTCAAAATATAAAAGAAAATGTGGTCGGTTAGATGGTGGTAAATGCTGTGGAGAAAAATGCATCAGGAAGAGGCATAGTGTTTTCCAGGGTGAGAGATGGTATCCGTTCAAATAAGATGGCCAAAAAAAGCCTACCTGATAAGTTGATATTTAAGAAAAGATCTTAAGATGTGTTCCCTGGAAAAGAAAGAAATATCGACACCAAAACTCAATTTTAAAAAAACACACAAAACAGGCTTTACCATGTAGAGGAGATATCTATAATACTCTTAACAATAAAAATACATTTTAAAAACAGGCTTTAGAATATAGACACTATTTAAACAATACAATTCAGAGACAAGTACAATGCGCCCTGGCCGATTTAGCTCAGCGGTTAGAGCGTTGGCCTGCGGACCAGAGAGTTCCAGGTTTGGTTCCCGCTAAGGGCATGTACCTCGGTTGCAGTTTGTCCCCTCCCCAGTTGGGGTCATGTGGGTAGCAACCACTCAGTGAGTCTCTCTTGCATCGATGTTTCTCTCTCTCTCTTCCCCCCTCTCTCCCTCATGCTCTGTCTGAAGATAAATGCAAAAATGTCCTTGGGTGAGGATAAATAAAATAAAATAAAAGAAGCACAATGCTATATATGCGATCCTTGGCACTGTGGACTTCCACTCGTGATCTCTGTTCTGTTTTCCTATAGGATGTCTCAGTGGTATGAGCTTCAGCAGCTTGACTCCAAATTCCTGGAGCAGGTTCACCAGCTCTATGATGATAGTTTCCCCATGGAAATCAGACAGTATCTGGCACAGTGGCTAGAAAAGCAAGACTGGTAAGGAAAACTCACTTGACAGACGAGGAAGTTTTCCTATGCTTTTAAAAATAACTTGTTGATTAAGTGACTTGGAGCCACATTGACTGGAAGATGAATCTCATCAGTGGCCATTGCGATTATCTATTATAGAAAAGAGTGTTGATTTGAAAAATGGCATGTTTTTACAAAGCTAAATACATTAGTCATTAAGTACTTTTCTGTCGTTTTGTCAGTTTAACATACTCCCTAGTGCTTTGGATAAGTTAGATAATGCCAACAGCAGTTATTTCCCAAGTCAGGCGGGATACAGGCATAGAAAGAAGGTAAAAAATCATTAAAGCTAAGTTGGTAAACTATTGATTAGGAATATGAAGAGGTAATAACATTCAGGAATTATCTCTTAAAACTGATACGTGTTCTTTTTTAAAATGTATTGTTTGATAATTGCAAATATTTTTAATGTTCTAAAGGTATTTGACATAGATTAAAGTCCCTTGTTGACTTTTCCCTTCCAGAGATAATCACCATTAACAGTTTTGTTCACAGTCTTAGAGTTCTAGAATTTCATGCTAACTGTATATAGTAGAAATATCATACAAACTACTGCTAAAAGCAATGTCAGTTTTTTTTAATTAATTAATTTTTTTTACATTAGTTTTAAAAGAAGGAAATAAAGCCTAAGAAAACACTCAGTTATTTTAAATAATTTCAGCATGGAAAGCAATGATTATTTTGTCTGTTTAAAATCGTACCTAAATGAAATGTGTAAATTTTAAATCCAGGGAGCATGCCGCCAATGATGTTTCATTTGCCACCATCCGTTTTCATGACCTCCTATCGCAGCTGGATGATCAATACAGTCGCTTTTCTTTGGAAAATAATTTTTTGTTGCAGCATAACATAAGGAAAAGCAAGCGTAATCTTCAGGTATGACCTGGTTTTTGTGTTTTAGTTGGAATGTTCCCATGTTTACATAAAAGAGTTTTAATTTTTATTCATCAAGTACTATTGAGCACACACTCATTGGTATTTAGAAAAGTTACAGAGACTATAAATAAAATCCCCCTATGTGGCTAATATGTTATAGCATAAGTATAATAAAATGTCAGTTCATTTTGTAAATACATAAGGAATTTTTAGGTTTAAATGTATCACTTGTTAAGCATCAGTAATTCTGAGAAAAATGTGATGCTATAAACTTGTTTTACAAAAGTTGTCAATATTTTAAACCAAAGACAAAGGGTTACATTTTAAGAGCAGTGAGCTGTAGTAAGATGTCAAAGTTCACATGACCTTTAGTGATGAGTCTGGTCTAAGTTCTTGGTATACAGATGGAGAATAATCCTGAAAGGTTGGACATCCCTAAAGCCCTATAATGTTTTGGTGAATTGGAACAAGACCCCTCCTTGCCTTGCTTCTGGTGGAGTTGCCAAGCAAGGGAAAGTCAAAGGGAGTTCCAGGCAGGAGAGAATGTGCTACAAAGTTTTGGGATTACTTCAAAAGTACTCCCAGCATTCCTTAAGTCTGGCTATCACATTTATTTCTCTATTAATAGAACTTTCTTGTTTTCATAGAGGTAAGTGCTGTTGTATCATTTGCATTGTCTCAGGATCCTAACAAAAGATAATAGGGCTCAAGAACAATAGAAATTAAAGAAAAATACTGTAGGAGCCAAGTATAAAAATACTTGGTTTTTAAATCAAGAAGTAATTGCAGTACCTGCACTTAATTGGAAAGTTAGAGCAGTTTTGGTCATAATTTGTGAAAAGATTTTGCCAAAAATACCTTATGTAAAATTTAATAAATGTGAGATGCTATTTCCCAGTGAATATGAACAAGTTAATCTCAATTTATAATACACAGTGGTTTAAACATTCTGATATTTAATTCATTTTTGTTCTAACAACCTATATATAGGATAATTTTCAGGAAGATCCGATACAGATGTCTATGATCATCTGTAACTGTCTGAAGGAGGAAAGAAAAATTCTGGAACATGCCCAGAGATTCAATCAGGTACTTTTTTTTTTCCTAGTTAAACCTTGAAGATAATAATAAAATAAAAATTTATTTATTTATCCAACAAATATTCTTGAGGTCCTGTTCAAGGCAGTAGTGAGTAGTACTCTGATTTTATAGCCCCAAGAAGCTGGGATAATCAGAAATAGAGATTTTATAGACCCAGGCTTCATGAAAGGAGCCTAATCTATTGGAAGTCAATCTTATGGAGAGAGACAATGAATAAACACAATTCTTTAGATAGTATTAAGTGCCATGGATAATAAAGTAGACAGTGATAGAGTGCCTTGGGGGATGGGGTTGTTTCTTTAGATCTGGGTCAGGAAACTTTTTTGAGTTGCTGGGGCAGGAAAGGAGGTAGGCAGACAATGGGCTCTTGCCGAAGTCCGAGGGCGGGGAGGTGGGAGTAGAGGTGGGCAGAAGTGGACAGATCCAGGTTATGTTTTGGACATGGTGCCACTAGGGCTTATTGTGAAGGATCGGATATGGGAGTGAGAAAGTGAAAGGTCAAGGATGACGCTGATATGTAACTGGCGTCAATTGGAGATACTGTTTAGTGAGCTGGGAAAGACAAGGAAGGGAGAGAGGTAGGGATTTTGAAGGCACAGTAGGTTATTGGAGGAGAACAGGTTGGTGGGACAATCAAAAGCTTTGTTTTAAATAGGATTGTGATACCTGTTAAATTTCTAATACATCCAAACAGTGAATGAGACAGAGTTGTGAGAGTGCAAAATTTTTTATCATGATTTTGTTAAATCTAATACAGACCTCCCTGGGAATCAGGGTCTAGCAGCTTTTTGAAGTTGCCATGGCAGTTATTCATTCCTTTCTTGAGTGTTGGGTGGTGGGAACAACCCAGCAGACAGACGGTTGTGAAACCACTGTGGTGTGGGTGATTCTGGCTGAGACAGTTTCCATACAAGGAAGAGAATGCCAGAGTACACAGTGGAGTGTGTCCTGTGTGCATTTCTCTGACAAATGACTAACGGAGTGAGCTGCAAGATGGTGGAGGGGGAGCGGGGAGAGAATTTCGGTAGTGGTATGGAATGCCATTCTCCATGCACTTCCTGAACTTTTCCCCAGTCCTGTGAATCTCCTTCCCCCCCCCCCCCAGGCATTTTGTCCCTGTCTCCCTGTCACTCTGAATGCACTTTACTGCACTAAGCATTTAAAGGTGTGTATTACTTGTTCTAAACTCAAGCTGAATAGTCCAACTGGTACCCAGCTCATTAAACAAAAGTGTGTGTCAGCGTCAGAGGAAAAACTGGCTGTATTGTGTTCTCTGAGAGACGTATGCCCGTCTTGGCACGCACCTGGGAGATTTACAGCAGGAAATTTTTATTCCATGGGATTTTCATCTTCATAGCATAGTGTGACGGGCCACTCCTGTATCTCAAATAGATGAGAGGACAGCCAGGAACAGAGATGGGCAGAATAACGAACTGTCCACCTTGGCACCCAAGTATTTCTCTCCTCACGTTTGGCCCCGAGGCCCAGAGTTGACATTGAGAAGCAGGGTAGCCCTGGCCGGTTTGGCGCGGTGGTTGGAGCGCCGGCCTGCAGTACTGAGAGAAGCAGGGTAGATAATGTCTTCTCTCCCAGATCAACCCCACCTCCTGGGTGTGCTTTGGGTCTTAGAGGCATGTCAGCCTTTGAGCACCCCCTTTACAAATGTAGGTAACCTGGGGAGACGTTCATTTGAAGTCTCTCTCGGACACCTGAGTTATTAACGAACACCTTCGAGGAAGTTTAGTTGACTCCCCAGCTGAGAGCAAGAGAAGCGAGGCCGCCTTGGGCTTTGAAGGAAGGTCCTGACGTCTGGGCTGCCATGGAAACGGTGCCTCCTCTCCAGTTACCCAGCTGACTACTGGCTGGGAAATCTAGAATCATTTCCTTGCCATTTCCCCTCTTGTTGACGTGACTACATTTTAATAATATGTCTTCTGTTTGTACTGATACATATATGTATGGAATAGTGTGATGTATTTTCTTCAAAATAACCCAGTTTGAGGGCCAGAGGAGTAGGGAGACCGTAGATGAAATGAGAATGTGTGGGAATTGATAATTATTAAAACCATGTGACAGTACCTAGAGAGTCAATATATTCAAGTGGAAACATGCAAAATTCAGAGGCAGTTTAGACCATTTAAAGAGCACATAATTGTGTAGAAATGTCGGGTTAGGAGTTATTTTTTGTTTTAATAGAGGAGATTTGGAGAAAAAACCTTTAAAAGAATACAGGGGTTGGCAAAAGTAGGTTTACAGTGTTAAGTACATGAAACACAAAGTTTATTCTTGTATTAATTATTTATTAATTATTGTACTGTTTATTATTGTTTTTAACCTGCTTTTGCCCATCCTGTATTATATTATACACAGATACTTCTTCGTAGACTACAAGTGTTTTGTCTGCTGCCATTATAACACACTAAGCATCCTTTCTTTCTCTTTCTTGAGGTAAAAAAGCTAACTATATGTATAGACAAAATGTAGGTCCATAGGGTTCACCACAGGGGGTGGCGATCATTTGTCTCAGGTGGAGGTCAGGGCATCATGTGGATCTAGCTTCCTTTTGCCATCTTCATGGTTTTAGGTAATAATAGTTACAGTATGCTGAGTGCTTATGTTTTAGGCCCTGTGCTAAGTAGTTTATAAACATCATTTCATTTGAATAAATATTTTCAGAACCATTGTTGAGGGTAGGTATTCTTACCATCATTTTGTAGATGAGAAAACCAAGGTGCAAAGGTCAAGTACTTTGCTCCAGGATGCAGAGTCCTCATGCGATTGGAATTTAAACCTGGCATTGTCTGGCTGTAAAAGCCATTCATTAGAGAAGTCACTTAACCTCTTTTCAGTTTTCTGATCTATGAGATGGGATAGAAGGGCGTTCTGACTGGGACTTCTGACACCCATTAGGTGCCTGCCACATGTCCCCTTACTTGATGAGCTGCTCATTCAGTTGGAGAGAACATCCTCCCTGAGTAGAAGACTTTTCTTTTGTCTAGGGTGTGTAAGTATCCAGGTTCTAATCAAAACCCTTCAAACAAGGTCTCTAGAGGTGTCAGTGTGAAATGAGAAAATAAGAGTAGATGATGGCAGAGGTCCCTTCCAACTTGAGTGTTTGATGTTTCTGTGGTTTCCTGATGTTTCCTGGTTTGTCAGAAAGTTAAAAAGTTAAAGACTCATCCTGGAACTAGTATCAGAGTCAAAAGTATAGAGTTCTCAAAGTGATATTATTGTTACTATTTTTATTGTTGAAAGTATTACAGATGTCCCCCTTTTTTTCCTATTGACCTCCTCCTCCCTACTCCCACTCCCCTCCTGCTTTCTCCAACCTAATGTCTGTGTACATTGGTTGTGCATATATGCATATAAGTTCTTTGATTTATATCTTCCCACCCCTCCCACCTGCCATCCCTCTGAGGTTTGTTAGTCTGTTGTTATTTTTGCTATTGTTATTTTTAAGTATGGAGTGGTAAGTTACCAGCTAAGCAGCCCTTGGCAGGAGGGAGTGGGGTAGAGGGATGCAGCGGGCAGTGTGAGGAAGGAGTAAGACAGTACCAGAGCGTGTTAGTAACTTGTTTGGACTACTGCTTAAGTTTGAAGCCGGAGGTTTCTTACACCTCTGTCTCAGTCACCAGAATTTTTCCACCGAGCATCTCCTAATTGACAGCAAGAAGAGAATGTAGTAGATGAAATACAGCTACATTCTTACAACCATGATGGTTTATACCCCTGTTGCCTAAGCTAACCCTTGATAGTTTACGGAGGAGGATGAGGAAGTCAGGGTCCTCCAGTGGATGAAGTGTCCCAGCTGTAAGCAGAACCCACAGGACATGGTACCCATGTCCAAGTGGCTTAGAAACAGACAACATCAAAGATTACCTGCATATGATGATTTCCCTGCAGATTTCTTCAAGGTGATGGCTCATTCTGAATGGTCAGAGCAGTCCCGTTTATCACTTAGTGACGTGTGGCAACCTGGGGATACCAGTCATTTTCATGTATTTCTGATATACACTATACACTAATATAATGCAGATGATTTGAATTTCTGCTGTTGCAGAGAATATAAAGTGAAGGAAAACATACAAATGTTTTCTATAAACAAAGAATAACTTTGATTACCTAAACCTAATAAAGATAGAACAAAAAAGAAAATTATAGACCAGTTTTACTTATGAATATCAATGTTAAAATCCCAAATTATTAGGGATTTAAAATATTAGGAATTATAATTAAATACCACATTAAGAAAATAGTACATCATGATCAAATGTAATTGATTCTAGAATTCAAGGATAGATTATAACTGGATAATCCATTAATCTAATTCATTATATAAATAGATGTAAAGAGAAAAAGCCTATGTTTATCTCTTTAGATGCTGATAAAAAACATTCAGTAAAATAGGAATTGATGAATACCTTTTTAAAATATACATTTCTCAGTTCTAGAGATAGTATCTTACTTAACCAGGAAAACACCAGCAAGTAGAACCACCATGAGGATATCCACTGTTGCCACTGTTATTTTGCATTATATTGGTGATATTGACCAATGCAGTTAGACAAAAGAAAACCATTAGAAGCAGAGGAATTAAAAACAACATCATAAATTTATAGGCTCTTCCTGGTTAATTCATAATGTTAATGTGATCTCAATAAAAATGACAGGTTGTTTTGTAGAGTTATACTAATTGATTTTGAAGTTCATATAAAAAATAAACATGGAAGACTAGCAAGGAAACCCTGTGAAAAAGTAAAGTGACAAGATGGGACCATGAGTATTCTGTATACTAAAAATCCTCCATAATTAAACATTGTTCAGGCTTATGAAGTTCAGAAAGACCTAGGTTCATATGGAAATTGATATGATACAGTGGAAACTCAAAGCACTGGGGACAATATGAATTTTTCATTAAATGTTAAGACAAATGGATAGTCATTTGGAAAAAAGTTAAAATTGGACCCATACTTTATATTAAACATAATAAATTTTAGCGGTATCAGAGATCTAAATGTAAAAACAAGGAAACTATGCAAGTGCTAGGAAAAAAATGGCTGAGAAAAGACTGATGAATCTGAAGGTACAAAAACGCCAACATAGAATCCGTGCTGGGCACTAAAGATAGGTTGATGGGCACAGTGTTTGCCATGTGGGGCTTTGACTCTAAACAAAAATACTCTTTCTGGAGTTTAATCTCTATGAGAACAGGGTCTGTCTTGTTTCTTACTCCAGCGCCTGGGCCTAGGACATTGCCTGACCTTGATTCAGAACCTAGTAAGTGTATGCTATATGAATCAGGAAACACACATGTAATGAACAACGAGGTTGCTGCTGTGTCTGAGTCTTGTGAGTCTGGGCTAATACTCATTACTTTAGCAGATATTCATTGAAGTCTTTAACACCAGTGCTGTTATGCGTCTGAATCACCTGGGATCTTATCAAAATGAGGTTTCTGATTCAGTAATCAGCTTAGGACCCGAGATTCTGCATTTCCGACAAGCTCAGAGGTGGCAAGATGCTGCTAGTCTGAGGACCACACTGTGAACCACAAGTCTTTAAGACAAATAAGTATAGAGTTAACAATACGAATCTTGTCTACAGAATGTGAGAGACCCTGAAATAAATTCCTGTGTGGCACCACGCAGCTGTATGAATTAATGGAAACTTTCAGAAATACCATTTATTTTAGGAATGAACTGAGCCTACTCTTTCTGTAGCATTAACAGTTTGCAGCATTTTCCAGGGCCTTGGGAACTGAGCTGTTTCTTTTAGATACTTGTGGGCAGCTTGTGTAAGGAGGCTTTGGGAGGTCTTGGAGGCAGTGGGGGACACAGGGTATAGACTTGACTTTGGAGTGTAACCAGCAGGTAAATACGCCCGAGGAAAAGATGACTGTTGACCACACTCCTCCCACTACAGGCCCAGTCAGGGAATGTTCAGAGCACTGTGATGTTAGACAAGCAGAAGGAGCTTGACAACAGAGTCAGAAACGTGAAGGACAAAGTTATGGTGAGTACTGAGTAAATAAATACATTTATTCTGTAATTTTTTGTAGAAGAAAAAGGTTTCAGTTGCTCCAGTGTAAACATAGTAACTGATTTTAGTCCTTTAAATAGTTAAGAATAAAAGTTTAGCTGCAGTGCCAAACCTTAAGTAAACAAATTGGTGAAACCAGTGAGTAGATAGGTTCATAACTTCCTGCCGTAACTTTCAAACATTGAGCTTATCTTTTTTCTTTCATGTAGTATCATGTAACTGTTGACTTTCCCCGTCACCCAATAAACTAGATGCTGCTCCTCTAATAGCCCTTTATGTCTGTACCTCTCAAATCAGAGTGTCCCTGGGGTTACACAGGGCTCCAGAATGAACATGGTCCATCCCCCTCAAGCACCTGTTTTATTCTAAGACTTGAAGGGGAACAAAAACATTTCATTGAAAGAAATTCTGATACATTTCAGGTTAGAGTAAAACATCCATAATACTTTTAAGGTAAACTCGCAAGACAATTTGTGGAAGCTGAGGGCTGCTGCAGTGCCTTTGGTGGGATCTATTCACTCACCTTCACTGTTTTACACCAGGCCTGCATCTGTGGAAAAGGCCTAAATGAGGGGTGCAGTCTCCCGTGGGTCTCTGGGTCACACAGCATGGCCTGGTGCTTCAGACAGTGACCTTCCAGATTCTTTGGAGCAACTTGAAGTTGCAGCCGCCTAGGGCACCACTTTGTTAACGCAGAAATCACTGGACCCGGTCCAGACGTAGCCATATAGTTTCTTTTCTAAATAAAGTTATTATATACTTATTAATGAAATAGAAATCATGTAATGCAAGTCTAGTTCATTTCTGAGGAAGCAGGATTATTACCATGGTTCTCTGGGTCTTATAGAAGCAGTGATCTGTTTCTTCAAATCTTTGGAAGCTGATCAGGAGAAAACCTATTTATGACTTTGTTTGTAGTGTATAGAGCATGAAATCAAGACCCTAGAAGATTTACAAGATGAATATGACTTTAAATGCAAAACCTCGCAGAACAGAGGTAAGTTAACATTCAAAGCAGTGCTCATTGGTTGTGATTTTTTTCTGTCTACATTAGATAACAAAGACCAGTACTCCTTCGTATTTGCCAAATATTTTGGCACTGAATTGCTAGTCTTGGCCTCTTGCTGACCCAGGGTTTCTTAACCCCAGAGCTGTTGACATTCTGGGCCAGATAATTGTTGCACAGAGCTGTCCTGTGCACTTGCAGGATGTTTGGCAGCATCTCTGACTTCTGCCCACCAGGTGGCAGTAGAACTATCCCCTAATCTGCAGCGGTGTCCTGGGTGGCCTGTTATGTAATTCACTGTACCTGTTGTGTCTAGCCCACTGATGGACAGAGACTGACAGGAATGTGGAGTTCCCATGCCCTAATACCGAAAGCTCCTTCAAACATTGCAGCTCCGTGTGCATACTCTGCAGATAATATTCAGCATTTTCCTCATGTTTTAAAGCGGTTTAGCTCTGTTTTATTGTTGCTTGTTGTTAATGATTATAGCAAGTGAAGGTAACCCACAGGTGTGCATTGTGTAGAACACTTAGGGTACTGCTGTAACCCTAGCAGTCATTTGGTGTGGTTAATATTAGAGAATAAAGGGGAAATAAATGATGATTGAACGAGATTTGACTGATTTGGGGTTGTGAATACACAATCCAATATACAGATAATATGTTGTAGAAGTGTACACCTGAAACCTATACATTTTGTTAATCAATGTCACCCCAATAAATTCAGTAAAATATATTGGAGAGATTATTAGTATGCTTTGGGTAGAAACTATGAGAGAAAGGAACCTCAACTAATCTTATTTCCTAATCATCTACCTCTCTTTCAAAGTTACAGATTTGCTTTGCTTTTTTACCTGAAATTTTGAGTTTTGCCACTTAGATTTATTTTGGTCATATTTTGACAATAACTTTAGAACGAGACAAACTGTTTCAATTTACGTGGGTCACTGAAAACAAGTACTTTGTTTTGGTGTGTCTAGTTTTTACACTTAGGACATTTTTCTTGTTTTGTTCAAGAAAGATTAAAGACCTAGCTTTGACCTATCACCAGATAGCATTTAGGTCGTATTTCTCCTAAATGCAGGTAAATCTTGGCTTTAGTTCATCTTGTCTCCTTTCACTTGTATATTTACCTGTTGTCTCTCCCATTTCACAGAACATGAAACCAATGGTGTGGCGAAGAATGATCAGAAACAAGAACAGATATTACTCCAGAAGATGTATTTAATGTTGGACAGTAAGAGAAAGGTAGCGGTTCACATTCCAGAAAAACATGCTGCTTTTGTCACAGACTGTAAATCATGGGCTTGAAGTTCAGAATAGAGGGAAAATTATATTTAGAACCCCTTGACTTAGAGCTTCAGTTGAGATGAAAGGATGTTTGCTTTGCTTTAAAAATATATGTATCTTTTAAAATTTAGTGATTAAAGGTAAATTTATTTCACTTTGTTTTTTCTTCTTCCATTAGGAAGTAGTGCACAAAATAATAGAGTTGCTGAATGCTACCGAACTTACCCAGAAAGCCCTGATTAATGATGAGCTGGTGGAATGGAAGCAGAGACAGCAGAGTGCCTGTATTGGAGGACCCCCCAACGCTTGCCTGGATCAGCTGCAGAACTGGTAAGATTCTGCAGAGTGGAAAGGTGGCAGCTGACTGGCCTACCATACACACTCATGAAGTGCACATTCAAGCTGCATTAGTGGGATGGACCTGTCAGAACTTTAGCTTAGAGTTTGATGTAGCCCAGCTTCTTCTTGACCTGGAAACACTTGTGCAGTATTGTTCGTACCTACGGTTGTGTTCAGCCACGTTCCGCTTGATTCGGAGCATTCCTCTCCCTGCTGCACCTGTGCCAAGGGATGCACCATTTGTGCCAAAATGCCAGTGACATGGTCATCACATAACACATTTAACAACTTGAGGCCTGATATTTTACTAAAAACAAAATAGTTTGAGGCATTTTCCAGGATTACATGAAATAACCGTTTGTTGTGAGCCATTCATTCACTCATTCATCCAGTAAATACTTAGTAAATGCTGTATGCCAGGCACTGGGCTAGGTCCTGGAGACACAAGGATGAGTGCTTCTTGGTCCTTGCCAGTAAGGAGCTCTCGGTGTGGAGGAGGAGGTAGACGTGGGAATAATTCTGTGCAGCAGAATGTTGCCAGTGCTCTAACAAAGGTCTGTCCAGAGTTCCGTGGAGGACGAAGGTTTCCAAGAGGAACTGGACTTGCACAGACTCTTGAGAAGGAGTAGGAGTACCTCATGCCGACCAGAGGGGAGAACAGCATAGCCAGAGCACAGAGGTGAGGAGAGGCAGGGCACGAGCCGGGCCTGTGGTGCTGCATCTCGGATGGCTGGAGAGGGGGTGGCCGGAGGGCAGAACGAAATCAGAGCTGGCAAGAGGCTGAAGCCTGGTCGTGGAGGTTCTCACACCTTCCTGGGAACAGGACTTGATTCAGTGGACACTGATGGGCCAGGCAGGCGGTTTTTTAAGTGCAGGCTCATTTTTCTGTTTTTTGTTTTTTTTTTAATCCTCATCCGAGGACATTTTTCCATTTTTTGTACAGATAGAGTGGGAGGGAGAGAGAGGGAAACATCGATGTGAAAGGGACACATTGAGTGGCTGCCACCCGCACGACCAACCAGGGCCGGGGACAAACTGCAACCGAGGTACATGCCCTTAGCGGGAACCAAACCCGGGTCTCCCCGGACCGCAGGCGGACGCTCTAACCGCTGAGCCAAACCGACCAGGGCCATTTTTCTGGTTTTTTATTTAGAGAAGTCATCTGGTACAGTCTGGAGGATAGAATAGAGACAAAAGGTCAGTTGGGCTACTTTAAGCACATTAGTATAGTCCAGGGGAGGGCTGCCAGAGCAGAGGGGACAGAAGAGGGGAATCATAGAGGCTTTGAAGGGATGGGGCCTGGAACAGATCCCAGGGGTCCAAGGACCAGAGATCCCATGAGATGACTTTCTGGATTGCTATTTTATTAAAAAAACAACTCACAATTCATATTCGGCTGTTTATTTTTATTCTGTGAATTGCCCGTCCATATCACAAATTTGTTGTGGGTCAAAAGAGAGCTGCCCAGCCCGGTGTGCCCTGTCATTTTCTTGTGTGCTGATGCAAAGCACAACTGGGAAGTCCTGGGTTCGAGTCCCTCTGGAACTCATCCACCCACCACCATCCTGCCTTCTCATTCCTTGGGCAATGGCTACTCTCTGTGTGCTTGGAACTGGATTCAGGGAAAGAAACCACAAAGGGAAGGAGATGCTTTTCACTGGGGAGATTGTCTTCTGGAATTACTCTAGGCAAATAATTGACATTTGCACATTCTGACTTGACCCAGAGGCCGCATCACCATTGGCAGTTTATTGTGAGGAGGGAGGAACCTGGAAGCTGTTGCTAGGTTTCCTCCTCAGTTTATGTTTGAGTGTTCAGATTGAGCATATTGCCTTCTTCCAGTTCAGTGAAGCGAGAACCTTCGTTTCCTCCTAACCTGAGCCTCACAGCCCCTGTGCGTTGCTTCTGCAGCATCCAGGCTGCTGTCTCCTCACCGTCCTGATGTAAAATCCTCAGTGCCTCCTTGCTGCCTCCTTCATCATCTCTCACGGCGTCTACTTGTCGCGTCCTTTACCTCTGTCCTCCTCTTTGCCCTGTCCTTTTAATTCCCAATTATTTTATAGGTCAGTCGAAGTCACAGATCCCTGCAGAAGTCTCCCCACTCCCACCTAACTCTTGTTATTTAGTCCATCTCAGTAGCATGCAGCTGTTTTTAATATGGGCCACAACTGGTCAGCACATGTTAGTTTTTCTCCCCAAATAACAGCTTCTGAGTACCAAGACAGGCCTTGTTCTCCGTCTCCCTGTAGTGCGGAGTGCACCTGCATGGATAGGAGTGTGTTGCCTGTAAAAACCACTTGCTGGTTTCCACGGTTCCCTTAATCCAGGCTGCTTTGCGACTGTTTTGGATTGAGACCCCTGTGCCTGTACCTTCCCAGGTTCACCATAGTTGCAGAGAGTCTGCAGCAGGTTCGTCAGCAGCTTAAAAAGCTTGAGGAATTGGAACAGAAATACACCTATGAACACGACCCCATCACGAAAAACAAACAAGTGTTATGGGACCGCACCTTCAGCCTTTTCCAGCAGCTCATTCAGAGGTAATTTGAAGATTTATTTGCACCTTCTGCAATTATTTTACCCAGAGGAAAATTGTTTGGTAATTCAGATAATTAAGAAGGGTTTAATGGGTTACATAAACTTTTTTATGGCCATCAACCTTTCCCGAATTCCTTGTTTATGCCAAGGTCCTTCATTCTGTGGCCACCTGGAGTGGGAACTAGCACATTTTACTCCTCTGTCCCTCCATAGCCAATCTGTGCTGAGACGGTGGCATCTAACCTCATGATGTGTCCTGTCCCTCCGTGGCCTCACCCCTTTCAGGCGTTCAGTTCCTCCCTCCTGAACTCTTACACAGTGGCCTCCCACGTGGTCCCCTTCTCAGCGCCTTCTTCCCTGGTCCCTGTGACCCGGCACTGGGTTCACTCTGGTTCTCTGTCACCTGCTAATCCAAGTGGAGCCCCTCAGCTGGACACTCATGCCCCATCCCCATAGCCTGGCCATACGTGGCCACAGCAGAGGTGGCTTCCACACATGCCCCATGTCCCGGCAGACTTGACCTCATGCCCACCCTACACATTACTTCTCCATGCCTCTCCTAACAGTATGTCCTCCACCTCAGAGCCTTCTGCTCTTGCACCTGTTTTCAAAAGTGTATCATCATCCTGAAAGTTTCAGCTTACAGTTCATCATGAAGTTTTCCCACAGTTCCCAAACAGATATCCCCTTTCCAGATGTGCACAGCTCAATCTTTATTCCTCTCCCATTCTGAATTTTATTATATAGTTGTCTAAATGTTTCTGTTATCTTTGTTGTAAATTGGAAAGTCCTAGAAGACAGCGACATGCCTTTGTCATCCTTCCTCCCCGACCAGGGCCTTGCCAATGGCCAGTCAACTTTGCGCAGGTCCAGATATGCGTGGTCGACAGATAAATGGCACTGGGTGGAAGAGTAGAGTTCATATTGCAAGGGTTTTGTTTTTTTTATGCTAACTTGACAGAAAAACGTCTTGGGTTCCCTGTAGCTAATGTCCAATCAGAGATGCCTAGGTGCTGGATTTTGAAATAATCATGGACATTGATTTGGGTTTTGGAATGCAAATTTTATTTTTATAATGAAAATTAATGTTTGGAAATTTTTATTAGATAAATACTACTAAACAATTTTACTAGAAGAACCATTTTCCAAAGGATATTAAAATTTCAATTTCAAATTATGGTAGAAAGCATGGTTTATTTTCAACTTTAATAACATTTCTTTTTTGTTTTATTTTTAAAGTGAGATATAATTGACATGTGACATTATATGAGTTCAGGTGTACAACATAATGATTTGATGCTTGTGTATGTTGTAAAATGAGTCTAGTTAGCGAATTGGACTCTCCGTGCAGATTTGTAGATGAGCATAATCCAGCCAAGGATTTTCCATGTTGGAGAGCATCACAGTGCATTACTCTGGTTCTGTTGAGTGCAAACTAGACTTGAGGGTTTCTAACAGACTAGAAATCCTCATTGTATCCAACTATTAGAATCTTCCAAACTATTTTTTAGCTTTGGCCCTTGAACTTTCTTTCCTCTTTAGGGGAAATAATTTTTTACTGACTCAACCTTCATGGAAATGCTAATTTATACTTTGCTGGGAATTTACAGCTCATTTGTGGTGGAGAGGCAACCTTGCATGCCCACACACCCCCAGAGGCCACTGGTCTTGAAGACGGGGGTACAGTTCACTGTGAAGTTGAGGTAAGAAAGAAAAGCTGCAACCCCTGCGCCTCCTGTCACAAGTTTGCACCCCGACTTTTCTTCGCAACACTTGTTACGTAGGGTACATGAGAGGAAGGAATTTTGCAGTAGGCATTATATTATGAATTCTTATTTAGACTATGTAAGAGTCTGTTTTTTTTCTATTCAAACTAGAACTGTAGCAGATAATGTGTATACACATACACAAACTCCTCATTTTTCCCAGTTGTGAATGTAATACATGTTCACTATAGAAGAGATTGAGAATTGCAGAACTGCATCCGCTAGAGAGGGAGTGTTCCCAGCTGCTTCCTTCCCTCTGGAGCATGAGCTCGTGGCCTGGGCTTTGTAGCCCCCAAAGCCACATGCGGTGTGTGAATGTGGGCCTATGACACGTACATTTTTCTGGTGAGTGGGTTCATGCTTTAGTCAGATTGTCAAAGTCATCTGTGATCTCAATATCTGTAGACGACCATGGTAAACAGCCTGTGTTCGTCCTCCCAGAGTTTTGTCCACGTCTGCGTAATATATGAATTAATACACTTGTGTGTGTGTATTTATACATAGATGCATACATGCACACACAAATATATATGGCATGCAGTATTTTATTTTTAAGGACCAGGATTCTGCTAGTTATGTTGTTTGGCAGCCTGTTTTTCTCCTTGATGATAAACCGTTGAAACGTTTCCATGTGAGAACACGTGGCTTTACCTTCTTCTGTTGAATGGCTACATTCCTTTAGCTCTTCCTCCATTGGTGAGCAGCTGGACCCTGAAGAGCAGCACTTGCCTTCCGAGTTGGCTCTAGTCCCATTTTTTGGGGTGCTGTTCAGTTAGGTGGGTAGGTGCTGCTTCCTGGCTGCCGGTGTCACAGGGCCACACTCCAGCACCCTCGGGGTCCTAGCACTCACAGCCAGAAGGGGCACCAGAAGTCGAATCCCATCCACCTGCTCCACTAAATGGAGCAGAGCAGAGCAGAGACTTGAGGGGCTCCTTCCCAAGGCCCCAGCTCAGCAGAGCAGAGGCACGCCAGAGCTCAGCCCAGCGCCCCTTTCCATCATACCGTACAGCCCTGGTTATAGATGACACCCTCATTTTCCTGATTATGGGTGATGGTTTTTATTTTCTCCCAGCAGGAGAGACATTAGATACAAGATTTAGTAAAAGTAATGTTTGATGTATTTTACCCATGTAATTGGCCAAAAATAGGAATTTTCACAAAGCTCAATGTGGGCAAGGCTATGTAGGGAAACAGGTACCCTCACTAACATTTGGTGGGAATGTATTCAGTGCTGTTCTCTATCAAAATGTCATGTTACAGTTTTGCCCCAACAGTTACACAGCTAGGAATTTATCCTACAAATACACTTTTTTGTTGTTGTTGTTCAGATAGAGTGGGAGGGAGAGAGAGGGAGAGAGAGAGAAACATCGATGTGAAAGGGACACATCGAGTGGCTGCCACCCACACGACCCAACCAGGGCCGGGGACAAACTGCAACCGAGGTACATGCCCTTAGCGGGAACCGAACCCGGGTCTCTCTGGACTGCAGGCTGACGCTCTCACCGCTGAGCAAAACCGTCCAGGGCTACAAATACACTTTTTAAAAATGCAAGTAGATGTGTAAGGATGTCAATTCTATTGCTTGTAGTAACCCAAAACTGGAGAAGGTGGGGGTTATTGAAATGTTTATTGATAGGAAATTGGCATAATAAATAAATTGTAATCAATAGTTTTTAAAAGTAATAATGACTTTTATTTTTCTTTCCAGACTGTTGGTGAAATTGCAAGAGCTGAATTATAATTTGAAAGTCAAAGTTTTATTTGATAAGTAAGATATCTTTAATACTATCTAAGATTCTTGTGCTATTGAAATGCTGGTTTTGTTAACCAAACACAGACTAAAGCACTAAGCCATTTGTAAGGGGTCCCAGCAGATTTTAACTGGTAGCTCCTGTTCTGGGCATTTCCCCTAGAACTGGTATTAACAAGCCCTGCCTTTTAAGACTACACAGGAACTAAAGAAGACCGTGTTTTATGCCTTTGAATTTGTCATGGTCAAGTCTCAAAGCACCAGACTGCCGTGTCTCTGCAGCCAGTGGTGGTGGTGTTTCTGGAATGATGTTAACATCATTTGAGGTGGGGGAGTTGTGTGAGGTCTGCTGCATTCACCCTTGTCTCCTGTGGGCACTAGGGACCCAGGAATGGGCAGGATCTTTCCCAGGGGAGCAGGCCTTATCCCATTTTGCCCTTAGACCCTGGAGTAGCGCTGACCTAGGCACTTACATTAAAGAGCAAGACGGCCTTACCATCATCTTTGGTTTCTATGTGTATTCATTAGCCTTTGCTGCATAAGAAGTTGCCCCCAAATTTAGTGGTTTAAAACTCAAAAACTCATCATTTATTCGGTGGTCCTTCTGGTCTGGGCTAACTTGGTTGTCGCTGGGTGGCCTAGTGTGACCTCCTTACATGTCTGAGGTCTCAGCTGGGACAGCGTGGCTCTTCTCCAGGTGGCTCTCAGAGCCGGGCTTTCTCACAGGGTGACGAGCGGGTGAGAGTCGCAGCGTGCTAGGCCTGCTGGCCTAGACTTGGAGAGTGTCCAGCACCGCTCACCTCTGTTCCGTTGGTAAAACAAGCGGAAGTCACCTGAGATTCAAGGGATGGGAAGTACATTCTGTCTTGTGAAGGGAAGAGCTGCAGAGATTTTCTGGCCAATGCAGTGGACCACACTCGGCTTTAGCTCAGTCTCTTTCAGTTTGCTTGTGGCTCTTTTGTCTTTTCTGACTGTTCTAGTCCTGACTTTTCTTCTTAGTCTTGACAAGGCAGCTTGTATAATACTGCTCCTTTTATTTTAAATTCTTTTTTTTTCAAATGGGAAAATGGGTCACTCTCATAGCTGATGGTGACTGTGGTTCACAAAAACGCTGAACCTCTGGTTGAGACAGGAAAGGAAGCAAAGTCATTCCACCATGAGCACTGGTGATTCTACGCCTGTGCCTAGCAGGTGCTTTATCCTGAACGTGACGTCCTCTGACAGTACTCACTCAATGTACAGAGAGAGGCATGGTCTCTCAAGATTTTAACTTCAGATTTAAAACTTAAACTTGACAATTTCCCCAAATAATTGACTATTCTGAAAGCATCAAAAATAATAGAGAATAAAAATAAGGATTAAGCTGTCAGGTTGGTTGTGTGGCAGCCGAGCAGGGTTCTCTGCAGAGGCCTCAGTGCTTGGCACAGTGCCCTGCACAAGGTAAGTAATTGCTCAATAAACAGTAATAACGGAAGCTTACATTTAGTGAGGGTGTGCTTTGTACTCTTTTTACCCATTAACTGTATGGTTGGTGCTGTTAGCATGTTGCACAAATGAGAAATTTCCGCCCAGATGATTTATTACCCAATGATACTTGGCAGACCTGGTGTTGGGATTGAGTGAGTGAGTGAAGGAGCAGAAAACCCATGGGTACAGATTTATTTTTTTATTGGCCTTATATTTATACATATACTTTTATATTTTTGTTAAAGCTCATTTTGAAATTTAAATGCATATATCTGATTTTATATGTGTATATGTATTTTTTTTGCAGAGATGTGAATGAAAGAAATACAGTAAAAGGGTATGTAAAATACTTTACCCTCTATTTTGCTGTCTTCTTTGTTTAATAGTTCCAAGCCTTTTAAGTATTTCTACCCTCTTTTGTCTAGATTCAGAAAATTCAACATTTTGGGCACACATACAAAAGTGATGAACATGGAGGAGTCTACCAATGGAAGTCTGGCGGCGGAATTTCGACACCTGGTAGGGAGACTGGTTTTCCCCTTTCATGTTGAATCTGGTTTATTGGGACTTTTGATGACAGAGTGGCACTTTGTGCATTGCGGGGTGTGGAGGGCCCCCCGGGAGGAGACTGTCACCCTGTGGCTGGTGACTTCACCAGCACTTGAGTTTCAGTTTCTCCTTATCCCAGGACTGGTCACTCTGTTTTCTACAGTTTCTCTCCCAGAGATACTTTTTTTGGGTACAGCGATCCCGGTAAAATATCCCACTAACCAGTGCACACATACCTTATCTGCGCTCTGTGCCTCCACGACCCCAGTGATCACTCACTCTAGACTGCTGCAGTCTTCTCAAAGGTTATTCTTGCTCCCACATCCTGACTATTTCTTCTCCTCCATCCAAGTGTGGCAGACCCCACGGTCTGTCCTCAACCCCCTCACATTCCCCTTCCTGGTGGTCCCGTATAACTGCTGCAGCTACCATGTTGTCTGTAGGGGAATAGGGCCTCTACCACCAGGCAGGAGACACTCAGCAGAGGGTTGAGGTGGGCAGTGCCAGGTTGCCTCTCTGAAAACCCTGGATGCCAGTTCTGAGGCTGTGTTGGTGCTGAGCCCTGTGTGCTCCCCAGGATGGAGCCTGCAGAGAGGTTCAAGGCACCCTTTGCTTTGGTGACCATCCATGAACCAGCAAATGCAGCCAGGAAGCTAGACCTGTGTGAGAGCCTCGGTCCAAACTCAGGAGTCTGAGGGTATCCAGAGCTGCTCTCGGGATGCTGAGTTGTTCCTTTGAAAACTGAAGGATTGAAGTCCTTTTGAGGGCAGTCTTAGTTGGGCCTAGTCTGGGAGACTGCCATGGAAAGGGGAACAGGAAAAGCCGTGCCCCGAGCTTGGGGAGCATGGAACAGCTAAGGAAGGAGACGGGGGATCATTCGGAAAATCTGCACAGGAGAAGGGAGCAGGGTGCAATTTTCTGGAATCCTTCTAAACGTTGAGGTGTTGGCATGATGTCAGGCTGCTCGGCAACACACAAAAGGGTCATTTCATTGTTCGTTCTGCATTCTGAAAGTAATTTTATGGCCTTCATTCTTTCTAAGTCCTGATTTGGTTTGATTTGTAAATGAAAATAGCAACTTTGAAGATTATGTCATTTACTGAGGTGGTTTCTTGTTTTATAGCAACTGAAAGAACAGAAGAATGCTGGCAACAGAACCAACGAGGTGAGAGTCTGTGTAATGGGCAGGTCTGGCCAGTGAGGTTGACTGTACCATGGTGGCTGGGGACGCCTCACGCAGGCAGTCAAGCCCAGCAGGGAAGGGCAGTGAATGTGTTTGGGGACTGGTGTACTTGTAATAACAGTGAAAACACTCCACATTCGTGCTTTATGGCTTTCCAACGATTTTGCACACAAATCACACCCTCACAGACAGCCCAGTGGAGCAGTAGGGTGGGCTTCTGTGTTACATTTTACGGCGAAGACACTGAGTCACAGGAAGTCTGCAGGATTAGCTAAGGGTGTGGAGGGGTTACTGTCAGAACTGGAACTGAGGGCAGTTTTTATGACTGCCATGCAGAAAACCAAGTCTGCCAAGCAGGTTTTCCTGCCCTTGCATTTCCTACTCAGGAGCATCGTCTTTCTGTCTGTCAGTTTCCTTTTCAGAGTCAGGTCCTTGAGGAATTTTGTCTGTGATGCATTAAAAAATGAGTTGTGGACAGGGACAAAGCAGAGTCTGCAATAGTGTTGGTTTGGAATATTTTTAGCCCTTGTGCCCATGCAGCATGCTGTCCTTCCCCACCACAACCAGTAGAGGTCGTGGGGAACCGTGGGACAGGCACTGGCCTGGGCGGTGCAGACAGGCCACTGTCTGGCCCTGGTGTGCACCTTTACTCTCTTCGTGACCTTGTTGATTCCCTCTCCTGTAAGCAGGGGTACAGGCTACACCTCTCTGGTTCTGCGTTGTGGTGATGTTGTTATGCAGAGTGCTGAGGTCCCAGAAAACCTCAGTGTACTATTCTCGGATTCCCGAAGAAATAACCCAGAGGATCAGCTGTGAAAGACATGGGTTTATTAGGACTTCAAGTGCGCTAGTGGTGGCCAACCGGTGTAGTTTACCGCCACACTGGCTGCCACCGGTGAAGTTGAACTGCTATGTCTGGCCTATGGACACGCCTTGCGGGGGTGGCTGGCCGCCACCCAGACTTTCCCAGCACAAGGTTTTATAGAGTACACACAACAGAGAAAAGCAGGGCATGCAGGGAGGAGGGGACTGCGTAAGTTGTGTGAGATCACACCACTGAGGAGCTGGCCAGGCTCCCGAGGTCTTACATCCCCTGACTGATGACCTTCATCATCCTCCCACAGGGTGGGAGGGGAAGTAGGAGCCTGGGAAAGGGCCCCTGTCCGCATTCACTATACAGATGCTCACATGAAATAATGTGTGGGAAGGCATTTTGAAAACTATAACATTTCTACCCAAATCAAGGCTCTGGATGACCCTCAGGCTTATGCAAATCAGCCCTTCCAGTAGATCATTTCACTTGGAACATGCCATCTGCTGCAGGGGGCAGCCCACACCAGGGGCGAGGTGGCAGAGTGGCGCTGGGGGCCTGAAAGCCTTAGTCACACAAATGAACCCATTAGAAGCTGCTGTTTCCCTGTTGACATTTCCTTCCCTTAATCCGTAATCCTTGCCATAATTCCAGAACGCTTCTTTTTGAGAGAACACTGAGATATGTGTCATAATCAAACCTGGGATAGATTATCGAAAATTCGAGTCCTTTTCTGACGGCAGTTGGTTGGGCTCCGGCTTTCTGCAGCTGTTACGGTGCTTGTTAGACCCTTGGAAGTTGCAGGATCCGTGATGAATGACTGTTCCCCTGCCCCTGCTTCTCTTTCAAGGGCCCGCTCATCGTCACTGAAGAGCTGCACTCCCTTAGTTTTGAAACCCAGCTGTGCCAGCCTGGGTTGGTCATTGACCTTGAGGTAAGACTGACGTGATCCAGATGTGGGAAACTATTTTTACTTCTGTCAGATGTATTTTTTTTAATCCTCACCTGAAGATATTTTTCCATTTATCTTCAGATAGAGTGGGAGGGAGGGAGAGAGAGAGAGAAACAGCAATGTGAGAGACACATTGATTGGCTGCCTCCTGTACAACCCTGACCAGGGCCGGGGACTGACTGAACCGAAGTGAAGGTACGTGCCCTTGACCCACTCTTTGGTCTGCGGGCCGACGCTCTAGCCACTGAGAAAAACTGGCTAGGGATGTTCCAGTATATTCGCCTAATGATGATCTTTTCCAGCTAATGCTATGTTAATTTAATGATTCCGGAAGCTAGGTAATTGAATTAACCTTCAAATTCTTTAAGCTAAATGTTTCCGTTAAGCTATCCTATGTTCATTTTTATATGAAGCATTGAGACTTATTTCTTAACTGGAAAGTATATCAGAAACAAATGAAGCCCTGGCCAGTGTGGTTCAGTTAGTTGGAGTGTCGTCCCCTGCACTGAAGGGTCATGGGTATGATTCCCAATCAGGGCACATACCCAGGTTGTGGGTTTGATCTTTAGTTGGGGCTTGTGGGAGAGGCAACCAATCGATGTTTCTCTCTGCCTCCCTCTCCCTTCCTTTCTCTCTAAACTATAAAAAATGACAACCTTAAAAAAAAATGAACAAAAGAACATAACTTTACATTTTTAATTTTCAAGTATAAAATATATGCAAATTTACAAATAATCCCTCGCTTAGCTTTGAAGCATGGCAGGGGTCTGAAGGTGATAGTTCTGTGATTCAGATGATTTCAAGGTCTTTTTCATCTTTTAGACGACCTCTCTACCCGTCGTGGTGATCTCCAACGTCAGCCAGCTGCCGAGTGGCTGGGCCTCTATCTTGTGGTACAACATGCTGGTGACCGAACCTAGGGTATGGAAAACACACACTTTCACACTAGAGGCTAACCAGTGGCCCCATCCTCTAGTTTCTGCACATCGAAAAGAGCCCCTAAGGGCCAGATGTTGAGGGACAGATGATACAATTCAAGTGGCATTGCCAAGGACCTTTAGTAGTTCTGGAAAAGGGAAGCATGTATCTGTTTTATGTGAGAATTATGATATTCCTTCTGTTTGAATAAGCTCAGACCATAGATGATTTAATATAACTTTTCTTGTGGAAAAGGTCCTTTCTTGTTATTTCTTTAAAATGTGGGCATCTACGAAATAAGCATGCTCATTTTAGAGTGTACATACTCCCTGTTGATTAATTACAGTCCATTCTCATTATTCACTGTACTTAAGCCCCCCCAGTCACACTGGTTTAGCAAACACTGAACCCTGAACGCAGGGTTAGGTTCCTGCAAGCCTCTGGTCACAGCCTCTCGGCAACCAGTTAATATATAACCTTGTTTATGTGAGTGTCTATTTAAAGACACCTTATCTGATATATCTGTTGGTTCATTAACACTGAACTCATGACCGACAGCCTATAACGTGTGCCTGAACACAGCTTATCTAACACTCGTATTCTCTTTCTAAGGCACATCGTGGCCTTGTGCTCAGGAACATTAGACAGCACTTTTACCCTGGGGTCCATTTAAACAATGAAATCGCCAACAAAACAGCACAAAAATGCAGAACAATGTCCCTATTTAAAGACCTTGAAAAGGACACTTGTTTATCCCGTGAGAGATGAAACGAGGAGGAGGAGGGCTGCTTTGACCTCAACTGGAAACACTCTTGTTGAGTGACTCAAAGTTTTCACCACCTTGTGCACAGGCATGACCTTGAATGAGTGCAGACGTGCCATGAATGTTGATTTTGGCATGACAGGTAAATTTTAGGGATAGATGAATTCACAGATGTGAATCTGCAAATAATGAGAATGGACTGGATTTCTCCTGTCTGCTGTGGAAATGTCTGTGTGTCACAGACACTGGCACTGAGCTTTGGGACAGGTCCGTGTTTTAGCACCTAGCTTGTGACTGGAGGTTCTTGAGGAACCATTCACTTTTGGGTTTTTTTTCTCTCTAGAATCTGTCCTTCTTCCTGAACCCACCTTGCGCACGATGGTCTCAGCTTTCAGAGGTGCTGAGTTGGCAGTTTTCTTCTGTCACCAAAAGAGGTCTCAATGTGGACCAGCTCAGCATGCTGGGAGAGAAGCTTCTGGGTATGAGCATACTCACTTTCTGTGTATATAAACTTGGAAATGCACTAAAATATCTCTACTGGACCCTCTTTGCTCTCTATTTTGTTACAGAAGAAGAATGTTAAACGCTGTTGGCTTTTCCAGCTGCAGCTTGTTATAGCTAAGTGGGCCTGACACCTCACCTTGGAAAGAGCTACAGACCTGATAAAAGATTTAAATGAATCACCTCCCATTATCTCAATTAATACTTCTGGGCAAGAGAAAAAGATTTTTGCATTGGGTAGAATATGTTACTTGTGGCTAAAATAAGTTCCCTGGTGAGAAAGGTAAAGTCTTTGTAACCTTGGAGAGAAAAAAGTTAAGTTCCCAACATGGTAAGAGTAAGTCCTGGGGCCCCCAGGGTACAGCACACACCCAAGGCTCCTGCCTCCGGCGGCCCAGGGAGGAGACACTGTTCCATCAGACACCCCTTGACTAAGTTTTGGCTGACTGGGCAAGGTCCAGTCAGTGACAGAAATCCCCTTTTAGGAGCTGATGCCATGAATTAATTAGTCCTCCACCCTAAGAGAATCAAAGACCTACTCATCTCAAGGTCAGATTTTCAGTGAACGGGAGTATCTACACCATTTCTCTAAAAATTCATGGGCGCCGTTTTTTCAGATTTGCTCTTTGCTCAGCAGACTGCACACACTGCAGACACCAGCAGGCTCTGCGCAGCCCATGGCTCGCAGCTGTGCCTCCCCTTGACCAATAGCTGTTACTGTGCAAGTCTTGTGCTGTTTGATAAAAAATAAGGCATTGCTACCTGCCCGGTGTAGCTCACTGATTGGGCATAGACTCATGCACCAAGGGGTTGCTGGTTCGATTCCCTGTCAGGGCACATGCCCCGGTTGTGGGCCCGATCCCCAGTGGGGGGCATGCAGGAGGGGCCAGTTCATGTTCTAGCTCATCGATGTTTCTCTCTCTCCCTCACGCTTCCTCTCTCTCTAAAATCAAAAAAGAAATTGCCAAATTTCATCTCCTTATTTGGTGAGAATTAAGAAAGATTTTTTCTGTTTCTAATGGCTTATTTGTGGTTTCTTTTGAGGAGAAATGATGGGCTCACCATCTCTGATGGCCTGGGCTGCTCTCATTTGTGTGGCTAATAACCCCAAAGCTTCCTTCCCCTCTCATTTCTCACTTGACTTCTGATTTGCATCGACCTCCCTGAGCCCATGTCCTGTTTGGAGGAGGGACGAGGAAAATACCTAATTAATATCTAAAGCTTATCAAGTCAAGTGTTGCTTAAATAGATCACCTAGGATGATCTTGGTCCTAGTTTGAATTAAAAACAACAACAAACCTCCGGAGGGTCAAGGAGAGGGGGGCAGTGGGAGAGGATATTGCACAGGGAGGAACCAAATTGAGGCTTCTGCAGAAAGTGTAGTTAGTTAGCATGAGTGTATCTGAGAATATCAGCCGTGTACATATATCCTTCTTTGGCTGGGTGCTGGCTCCTTTCTTTGCGCACAGACACGAGAGCCAAGCCATCAATCCAGCCAGAGCTTCAGCACTGATTACTGTTTCCTGAAAAAGCTTATTTTATTTCTTCAGGTCCTAATGCTGGCCCTGATGGTCTTATTCCATGGACGAGGTTCTGTAAGGTGGGTACTGTCTGGGTTTTATGCTCCCTGAGTCCTTTTGGCTCTCTGCTAAGGTTCTCATGTTCCTCACTGTGGTAGTCCCTAGCCGTGTGCTTATTTTGGCTTGTTCATCTCACCCGTGGAACCCCTAGGGCAAGTTGTTTGCTTTCCTTCAGCACATAAGGTTGGTCTCCCAGTGTGAGTCTGACAGGAAGCGCCTGCCTGGGTGATAACATTCTTTCACATCCGAAATGAGTCTTCTGTTTGCTCACACTGGCCCCCTTGGCAGCATTTTAGCCCTGTCCGTGAGAAAGTGTGCTCTGGGCCGTCGTAGATGGGTTGGCGGCCAGATGCGTTCCCCCAGCCAGTTCAAGCAGCGGAACCTGTTGGAAGGAATAATTAGACCCCGCTGAAGTCAGTAGACAGTGCTGACGGGCTCAGCTACTGGATTGTACCAGTGCCAGGCAGCTTTTGTTCTGTGCTTCACCCTGGAGGTCATCCCCTGGCTGGCTCCCTGCTGTTTGGAGAGGGAAGCAGAGGCGGCCCAGGAAATGGAAAGCTTGGTGTCTAGGTGCCAACAGGAGAGGAGGGACCAACTTTGGCAGCTGGACAGTCTTTGCAAATTAAAATGCAATGGCGGGAGGAGGCATGGTAAGTCACCAGTATTTTGGATTTTCTTGTTCCTAATGTATATATTTGTTTACTTGCAGGAAAATATAAATGATAAAAATTTTCCTTTCTGGCTTTGGATCGAAAGCATCCTTGAACTCATTAAAAAGCACCTGCTCTCTCTCTGGAACGATGGGTAAGGGCCATTGATAGATGTAAATTTGAAACACTTTCAGCACACACTCCCCTTGTTGGCTGACACAGGCCCGACCCAGACAGACTTCATGTTGCCAAGACTTGTGTGCAGCTCACAGAAACGAGGTTTACAGGCTGACCCCTCAGGCTTCATGGTCATGGAACCTCATGAGATTAAACTTATGCTTTCATAGTACATGTATATGTATTTTCAAGGCTACATTTGAAAAACTCTGAAGGCCATTCATACATTCATTCATTCCACAAAAATTTCTTGAGCACCTACTCTATTGCCCAAGAAAGGAAGAAAACACTTTTTTAACTCAGTAAATTGTTTCTAACGTACTCTTCACGTTAGTTGATATTTCAATGAAGACTTGAACTTGATCAGAAGTGTTAGATATGAAAATGTATTGTCTGAGCCTTCTTCTCTAGTGTAAAGATGCATAAATTCAGACATTTTTCCTGGCCTTCAAAATCATCAAGCCAAAATAAAAGGTTCATTTGTCATTCATTTATTGCTCATCTATAGCATCCCACTGGTACCATGTTAAGGATCTTTTTTGGACTTCAGCATATATGAGTGAAATCCTTCCTGAAGTGTCAATTAAATAGATTTAAAGCATTTTAAATAGCCTGTCCATTATTATCCTCTGTTCTTCTGTGAAGTTCCAGTGATCTTGATTTGAAAGTTAACAAAAATTAAAATGACTGAACCCTCAAACACCTGCGTCCGTCCCGTCCACATGCAGGTGTATCGTGGGCTTCATCAGCAAGGAGCGAGAGCGAGCGCTGCTGAAGGACCAGCAGCCAGGGACGTTCCTGCTGCGCTTCAGCGAGAGCTGCCGGGAAGGGGCCATCACCTTCACGTGGGTGGAGTGGTCCCAGAATGGAGGTGGTAAGCCCGTCGCCGGCATGCACTCAAAAGCCCTTCCTCATTAGTGCAAATACAAATAACGAGCTTTGGACATAAAATCACAGATCCTTTACTTACCCTCAGCTGAGCCTCTCAGATAGGATTTAATCTATCGTCACGAATATTTGTCATTCGTTGCCATACTGTGCAAATGATGGTTTTTAAATGACAAGGCCAAATTGTTTCGTTTTTCTGGTTTTTTATCTGAGATGGATGATGCGAGTCAGTTTGACTGACAGCCAGTTCTTGACCATGTGCACAGGCATAGGCGTCCAGCCTCACGGAGGAAGGCCACAGGAAGGCAGATACGACAGGCTTCCTGAGGGGCCGGGGCAGCCCTCCACCTGCCGTCACGCAGAGCAGATGCATGTTTATTTTTGTGATAGCTTGGGTTTCCATTTAACCAAATGACTCCATGACTGAAAAGTACCGGTTTGGGGGGATAAGGCTGAACAGCGGAGATGGGAGAAGGACAGAGACAAGCTGGTTACTTTTCAGTGTTTGAAGGACTGGAGGGAAAACCAATGTGTTCCGGTGAAGTTTATGCTTTCAGTGGGAAGATGAAAAAGATGGGTTTCTCTTTTTGTTCTGTTTATTTTTTTCTTCTGCTTAAAAACAAAAGACAAACAAACAAACAGGACAGCTGGGATTAGAGCCCAGTCCGGACAGCAGATGCTGGAGACTGGGGCTTTCGTCTTCGCCCCTGGTGGCTCTCGCCTGCTAGGCTGGGGGAGGGAGCTGGAAAACAAGGCAAAGATGAAGGAAAGGGTTGCCAACTTGGACGTTTAAACCCTGCCAACCAGAAAGTTAGGATGCCAGCGCAGCTGAAGTTCTAGGGCAGAGCGCCGAGGGCACTTCGACAACGGCCTCGGGGGTGCGCACCTGAAAGTTAGGTCCTGGACCCGTAGGGAACACGATTACAACGAGCCAGGGAGTAAGACCAGGAGTGACAAATTGTGGTTTCTTAGAGTAATGATTAGAGAAAAAAACCAGCAAATAGGATTTTTTTTCTTTTGTTTGTTTTAAAATTTGTTTTTCATGTGTTGTCATTGTTTATTGTAATAAAAAGTTATGGTTTTCAATATGAAAAGAAAAACAAACAGAAAGTGAGCTTATCTTTTAGTAACTTTATCTATGGCTTGAGCCAAGATGACTCAATTAGTAATTAGTAATTTATCTGCCTGTGGGTGGCACATCATTGAAGATGCAGGCTTTTAAAGGTGTTTAATGGCCTTCTTTTGGCTGTATTTACACATGTAAGCAAATAATGATAAATGCAGTGTTATTGATAGTAATGACTGCCTTTATTTTCCCTATTTTGAAGAAAGGATTATAATTTATTTAGAAACAAAGCAGTACACTGTATTGAAACTCCTAGATTGTGATTAGTTCTTAACCGTTTCTGAAATCCGTAAACTCCGCTATGTTTTGTTTCTTTCCTCTATTGTTTTGGGAGGTTCCCCAGGACTTACTTTGCGTTTCTTCTTTTTAGAACCTTACTTCCATGCGGTTGAACCCTACACGAAGAAAGAACTTTCTGCGGTTACTTTCCCTGATATTATTCGCAATTACAAAGTCATGGCTGCTGAAAATATTCCGGAGAATCCCCTGAAGTATCTGTATCCAAATATTGATAAAGACCATGCCTTTGGAAAGTATTACTCCAGGCCAAAGGAAGGTAAGTGGTGACTGTGTTCTCATCTCATCGTTGTCCGGAGTTTTCTGGAGACGGGGTCAGCCACCTCGTGCCCTAGCCTTCCTGTGAGTGCCAGCACAAACCCTGCCCGCGCTGTGCCGTTAGCTCTCCACTTTCTTTCAATTTGGTAAAAGCAGGCTTTGAAAAAATGGTATAAATACAGCGCAGTTGACACCTAATGCAGTATTTGGCCTGAAATATCTAGTAAGAAATGAGCGAATTATTTCTTATTTAAGAGGTGTTGGAAAAGTCCATTTTTGGTCTGGCGTATTTGGTACATTGTTGCTTTTCCCACATGGAAAGGAGTAAAAGATAGGACCACTATGGCCAACTGATTGATGCCAGCCTGCTCCTGTTCAAAGTAAGGAAACTGAGACCCAGGAGAAGTATAGTAGTTCATGTAGGGTGGTCCAGTAGATTAGCATAATTTTTTTTCTTTTCCTTTATTGATTTTTTAGAGAGGAAGTGAGAGGGAGAGAGAGAGAAACATCGATGAGAGAGAACATTGATTGGCCGCCTTCTGCATGTCCCCCACTGGGGATCGGGCCCATAACCTGGGCATGTGTCCTGGCTGGGAATCGAACTGATGACCTCTTGGTGCATGGGTCGACACTCAACCACTGAGCCACACTGGCTGGACAATTCGCATATTTTTAACAGTGATTATTGCTAAGAGCAGGTGTAGGCTTTGAACAGAGATCTCCTGCTTCTCTGTCTTCACCGAATTGCATTTGAAAAAGTTCAAGTTAGACCAATCTGGTTTGGAACATGCCAACAAAGCTAATTATTTCTCAGAATCAGAAATCTCAGTATTAGCACAACTACTTTGGGGGAGAAGTTGACCCCAGCTTGCCTGGACAGCGGTGTGTGACAGCAGCCAGGTTAGAACCACAGAACAGATACAACGTCTGTAGAATTTCAAGCCTTGGAAAGAGAGACCACTCAGTTTGACTCCTGTACCAAACTCTGTTCCCCTCTTCCAGCTTCCACATTCCCACCAGAATTTCAGGTGACTCAGCCAGGGACGTCATACCCCTTCAAGTTACAGGACTCTTAAGTTGACTATCAAGAAAAGAGTAACATTTTGATCGAAGAAGAAGTTGCTTGTTCTTGTGTGATTTTTGCTAATGGAAATTGTTCACAATGTGTTTGCTTCCAGCAGCAGAACCAATGGAACTTGATGGCCCTAAAGGAACTGGATACATCAAGACTGAATTGATTTCTGTGTCTGAAGTGTAAGTGAACACAGAAGAGTTCCATGTTTAAAAACCTCAAGCCAGCCCTGCTCCTGGCTGGGGCCCATGGAAGATGCCTGTGCTTTGCTTTTCCATTGTAATTGCTGCCATCACAGTTGGACTTGTTGGAAAGGTCCTAACTAGAGATCCTGGTGTCACTGCCTGTCAACATTTTACTTCCTTTATAAATAATAATAATAATAATATAACAACAAAAAAAAACAAACCCAAAGTTGTATTTAAGGTATATAAATTCTCCCCAAACTGATACTTTGAAAAGTGTGAATAAAATGAACAAAAATTGATCAGAGTGGGAAAGTAGTTCTTTTCAATCTAGAAAAGGCCAAAGTAATGATTGAGATACATTTTTTCCGCTTGCTTTTATTTTGTTGTTTCATTTTATAAAAGGTAGAAAAAAATTTGGAAAAGTCATTGTCAGTAATTTGGCCTGCAGCACTGTCTTGGGGTGAATGGATGTAGCCTTCATGTAAAAACAATCTGGAGCAGCTTTATCTGCATACACACCTCAAGGTAGGGATGAGGGACTCCCCAGACATTTCCTGATGCTTCTCGGGCCAGGGTGAGCCAAGGCGTTGGCATCACAGGCCCACAGTGCACACCTCCGCACCCACAGTTAACCAGGCAGAAGAGGCGCAGGTTCCAGTCTGGCTCTTTCTCGCTCACATCTGTAGAGTCCAGTGCATTTCCCAAGGGGCCGGGCTGGGGACAGGAACCTCTCCTGGTCTGTACTTTTTAAAATGTTTTACAAGTGTACTTACCTGAAATTCAAATATAATGTGATGAATCAGTCACAGGCCAAAGATGAAATGTGGAAGTTGACGCCACTGCTTTCATAATCTAGATGTTAACATGTCCTTTTCATTTCTCCCCATTTTAGTCACCCTTCTCGACTTCAAACCACAGAACACCTTCTCCCCATGTCTCCTGAGGAGTTCGATGAGGTGTCTCGGTACGTGGGCTCTGTAGAATTCGACAGCATGGTGAGTACCACTCGGGGTGTTCTCAGCTCCCGCTGAGCGTGCACCGTCCCGCCAGGCAGGGGGGCGCCCCAGCAGAGCCGAGAAGGGTGTTGCTCACATTGCCCGTGTCGGGTTGGAGCCTGCCATGCCTAAACTAGCTACGTCATCACAGGACTTCTATACCTGGTGTTCAGTACCTGCCAAATATTTAAAAGTTCCCCTCTGCTCTTTGAAGTGGTCCATGTAGAAATTTCATAAAATTAAGGAACTAAGATTTCTCTGATAAACTGTTTCCCTTTGGTCTGTTATTTCAGTGCTGTGTCTGAAGGAGTGTTGTTTTGAGGAAGGGGGGGACTAATGCTTGGTAATTACAATAATTATAGAGACTTAGCTGGCAGCGATGAAACAGTTTCACCTGCTCTGCGTTTGAGCGCTGAGCTGTACCGAGCACCTGGAGCTGGGGCGGGCTTGCTGGGCGCCAGGCAGTTGATGAGTGTCATGGTAAGAGACTCTTTCCTTCGGGAGCGTTTTTCCAGTATATCAAATAGGATTGTTTGCTTTTCAGCCTAAAATCCTTCCTCTTAAAGATTTTTTTCGGTTGACTGGATTTTTGCTGATGCCGTTTAATTTTAAGCTCTTTTCCGCATGAAGCTATTCCAGTCCATTTTGAAAGAATTATTTCATGCTCTAAAAAAATCCTCTTTGTATCATTAGTGGCCTTTCTTCCCCTGCACCCACCAGGTGATCAGTCATGAGGGAGGAAGGCAGGAGGGGAAAGGAGAGGGGGGAGAGGGTCTGCTCTGCACACGTTCAAGGTCACAGATCCATGTGTTCAGGGAATGTATTTATAAAACATCAGTAATATCTGCTTACAGTTAAGTTTCTAGTATGTAATTTCTTTCTTTGTCCTTTTTCCTCTCCCGAAGCAGCACAGGCTAAACTGTCCTTTCTTATGCCTTCCTGGTTGTTGAGGATGAAAAAGTCACTTAGAAAAATGCTTAGGTAGTGTAACAGCAAAATAGTTCTGTTCCTGTTGACAGGTGTGAAGTGAACCTCTTGTAGGTGTCAGGTCGCATCCTCTGTTAGCGTGTCGCCCCCAACTCTGCTTTAAAGCCCGGCACAAAAGCTGCATGAATATACTGCCTGTTCAGAACACGTAAGATAGATTGATGGAGCCACAAAAAGTTGAGCTTTGCTTCATCTGAAAGATGCACCTAGAAAACTGTTCGCACAGGACTCCGTATGTTTTACTCTAGTTTGTGATGACACGGGCTGTGTGGCCCGTGGGGGAGAGGCCTGTGCTTGGGATTGGACATCAGAGTTCTAACTCTGTCATCAGCGTTATCTCCTGTGACCTTGAGAACATAAGATGGATTAGTTTCTTCCATCTGTGCAAGCAGTGTGATTGCTTTCTCTGTGAGAGCAATCCAAATACTCTAAATAAGTGCTGGAAATGGCTCTGGGTTTCTGGATGTCCCCTGTAGCCATCCCATTTCATTCCAGATGATTTCATTCATTTCATTTGCAGAATAAAATAAACCTATTTACACGCACAACACACACACACACACAACAAACACACCCCCTCCAGATTAAAGCTGTAGAAGACGCAAACAGCTAAAAGAGGCTATAATACGGCCAAAGCTCTGGTTAGACAAATAAAAGTTGGGTCCATCTCCAGACTGAGTGGACTCCACCGGGTCTGTCTCAGATTGTCTGTCCTTAGCCTCGGCCATGGTTTCCATTCAGCACCCACTCTTGGGATCAGGGCAGATGCTCTGACACAGAGTAACTTCTCGCAGAGCTGCTATTTTCACATCTGAGGTTGCATCTCTGGACGGGAGTGGCAGGGGGCCGATGCCTGTGCCCCTCAGGGGCAGGAGGCCCGCACACTCCTGAGACTGTCCAAGAGAGACAGAGCACCTGTGTTTTCTGCAGCATGACTCAAGTATCTGCTTAGTCTGGTTTTCCTGTGCGATAAACTTTTTCCTCTGGGATAACATGAAAAGCAGTCCCCTCTCCTAGAGGCCTTTGGTTAGAACTGATTATAATAATAATAACAATAATAGAAACATTATAAATTGCTTACTATTTTCCATCTACCATACTAGACATTCTACATGTGCTATCCAGTTTAATCCCTTCACAGGCCTATCTGCTATCTGCTGTTAGCCTCCTTTGAATAGATGGGGACCTTGAGATTTAGAGGTTAGTCAATATGCTGACCTGTCTGTCACACAGCTAGTAAGAATGAGAGGCAGGATTTGAATCCAGGCTTTCTCTCCCTCTCTTTCCTTCTCCAAAGTCTACCATTTTAACTACACATTTTGTGTCAGCCATACTGAAACGGGCAAAAGCTTCATTGTGCTTTTAATCCAAAATAATTTTTCTAAGAGCTCGCTATGTATCACCCACTATTGAGTTCTTGGGGATTTTTAAAAATAGACTCAGCCCTGGTTGGTTTGGCTTGGTGGTTAAAGCTTCAGCCAAGGACTGAAGGGTTTTGGGTTCAATTCCGGTCAAGGGCATGTACCTGGGTTGCAGGTTCCATCCCCAGCCCTAGTCAGGCTCGTGCAGGAGGCAACCAATCAGTGTGTCTCTCTCACATCAATGTTTCTCTCTCTCTCTTTCCCTCCCTGATTTCCACTCTCTCTCTAAAAAAAAAAAAAAATCAGTGGAAAAATATCCTCAGGTGAGGATCAACAACAACAACAAAAGATGGACTCAGTTCTCAGGAGGATTATAGCCAAGTGCTGTATTTCTGTTGGTGTTTTGGGCTGAATAAGTCTGTTGTGCAGGGCTGTTCTGTGCATCATAGAGTGTTTCCCAGCACATCCTCACACCCAGTCATGACACCCAGAAATCTTCAGACACTGCCAGGGACAAGATCATCTCTGGGTGAGAGCACCTGTTCTGAAGGGAGAGCCCAACCTGGCAGTAGGTAGGTGTTCTTTGGATGAGCACGTCACCACCTACAAGGTGCCCTATTGAAGGCAGCGGAGCAGGAGGTACTGCTGAAGAGCTGATGGGGTTCCTAATGATTCTTCTTCTCTAGCTCGACCTGAAAAACATCCATTTATCATTCCTGCTGACTGGCCTTTAAGGAAAATTCATCATTTCTCCCACATCCCTCTGTCCATCTGGCATACAGCCCGGCATAGCCTCACCCTTGTTTTACACGAGCAGATTTGCTGGTTGCTCTGTCTCCAGACTTGCATAACAGCAGAAAGCTTTGTGCAGCTTGGATAGATTGACAGAATCAAGCCAGCAGTCTGCGGAGTAATAATCCATCAGTTTAGAGGATATAAAAGGTCTCGATCAGTCCAGGGAAAATGATAGCGCATGCTGAAAGCCCTCTAATCCCATGGCTATTTGCTGTTGGAAGTGTCTTCCGGCTACATTGTTGAACAGACAAGCTGTGTAAAATATGTGAATCTGCATTTAACAAGATCGGTGTAATAAACTTAACTACACTTTATCTTTTTACAGATGCAGTATAGAGCATGAACTGTTTCCATCTTCTGTGGCGACATCTTTCCTTCCCAACTGTGATTCCCTCCTGCCACTCTGTTCCTTCACATCCTATGTTTCTAGGGAAATGAAAGAAAGACCCACACATTTGCTGCAACCTGTTGATAGCAAGTGGATTTTTCCCTCATTCAGAAACATATGTTACTCTGAAGGGCTTCATGCATCAAAGTAAAGGTAAAAGTGAAAGCCCCCTCCACAGAGTGGGTTTTATGAATGAAAAACATTCCAAAGTAGTAACTCAGTACTACTAGAATGAGAATCCCCAAGGAAGGGTGAGACGGTTAGCAGCACTTAGCAAAGCCTGCGTCCAGCCTTTGTGGGATATGGATAGGTCACGTGGTTATTTAGGGAACTTCTTGATGTAGGATTAGCAAATTTCTATTGTAGGGAATTCTTATTTGGTTTCTCTGCTTTAAATATGACTGGAAGTTTTCCATTGGTTTATGAAATAGTTCAAAGCTAAGTTTGTGTAGAAATACATCAACTCTTAATAAAGGTAGCCATCCTGTATCCTGGGTAGGGGAGAAAAGTTGTAGTCTGTACTTTATTATATGTTCCACACTAGCCAGTTAAAGCTAAAGACAGATGTTCTCTCGGGAGAATTAACTTTTCTGTTGTTATGGCTATGTGATTCTGGCTAGTATCAGTAGACGCAAGTACATTTTCCAAATTTAGGAGTGTTATTTTCTGTTTAAACTGTAATATCCAAGCTGAATACATTCTGCCTTCAGCATGATCCACTAGTAAGTTAGATCGCCTTCTGTCCAGGGAGCCAGGCTATTAACAACGGCTCTCTCAAGGCAAGTCCCATTTTTTTTTCAAAAGTTGAAATTAATATTAAATGTAGACAAAGTCAGAAATTTATTCATGTTTCTTAAATGGGTTAATTTGTCTTTATTGTTACAAGTTGGTATTTAGTCTGTTAGTCAAAAATTTTCAAATTGAGAAGAAAGAACAGTAACCCACAAATCACTAACCAGGGACAATACGAGAATTGAATAATTTGAAAAGTCGTCCTTTGTAACTCTGAGAATTGCATATTTTCACTGATAAATGTGTTTCTCTGACAAATACATTTGCACCTGGTTCCATGATCTGTCCTGTGCTTTTTCTAGACCCCTTTTTGACTGGATGGTATTTTGTCAAATGTGTAATGTTATGTACCTCCTTCCTTCCTTTGTTCTGACACAGAAATGTGGTTTAGGGGGTTGGGTTTGCCACAGTTCTTCCAGAGAACTTTCATAGACTGCTGTCTTTGTGGCTGCATCTTAAGATCCCATGGTCACCACCACAGTTAGATTACTGTGTAAATATCATATTTCTCTGGTGAGGATAAAGTTTTCTTGAGGTCCATTCTAAAATTAAAGCTAAAGTATATGTATTGCACTAAATATGATATGCACCATGGTTCTTTGTATGGAACACAAACCAAGGCCTCCTCCCAGTTTTTACCTAAAATGACATGAACCTGACTGGGTTTATATTGATTTTTTTTTTTTTTATTGAGGTGATAAACAAAAACATTAACAAAATATTGTTTCTCATTGCTGGTGCTTAACTATTTGGCATATTTTTGTCCATTGAGAATGATCTGGCATGGTTTCATTGTACGGCACTAGCAAAGAGACTTTGTTTACTTTTCAGAAGTATTAAAGTGCTAGTGTTAGTCTCTCATTAATAGCATTTAGTGTAAAGATTCTTAAAGTTATAGGCTTTATGTGTAGGTTTGGTGTTTTAAGATTAATAACACCATTTCCCTTAGTGTTGTCCTGGCTTACCCTGCTTGCAATCTGAATTGCTGTGGCAGATGAATATAGGTCAGTGGGCCCTGGCCAGTGTGGCTCAGTTGGTTGGGCATCATCCCATGAACCAAAAAGTTTTGGGTTCAGTACCCAGTCAGGTCACATGCCCTGGTTGCGGGTTTCATCCCTGATAGGGGTTGTGCAGGGGGCAGCTGATTGATTTTCTGCTCTCACATTAATGTTTCTCTCTCTCTCTCCCCCTCTCCCTTCCTCTGTCTCTAAATATCAATTTAAAAATCTTTTAAAAAAAGATAGGTCAGTGGAAGAGATCAGAGAGGAAACATTATTAGAACAAGCTGTAATGGGTGCCATAAAGAGCAAATGAAAAAAAGTACTTTGGTCTTGGTGACCACAGCTGCTTCCAAATGCACACATAATTTGGGATTTATTTTTAAATGAATTTCAGTACTGCTAATATAAGTTTTTAATTTTAAAATATATGTAAATTGGGACTCTGTCTTGTCTCCAAATCAGTCATCTAAAATCCACACCCCTGTGATTAGATGAGTTGTTACTGAGAAGTTGTTGCACCCATATAGAAGAGTGACACTTTTCTCCAAAGATGTTATAAGCTAGGCACCATGTGTTGGAAAAGAGTAGTGCAAGAAAAAAACATAATCATAAGTTAGACATAACTCTGGCAGGTTAATCTTAACCATTGTTTGAAGAGTTATCAGGGAATAGTGGTATTATGAAGCCAGACTAGGCTTGAACTCTGGCATCATATCAAATACATTCTCATCTCCGTATCTGCAGTACTTACATCTAGGAAATATAAAGTTTCTTCATAAAGAACATTGAGAGCTATTTTTCTCCAGGGAGTAAAGTAGAAAATGCCCTGTATAGCTAGTATAAGTTTGTATCCTTATATAATTGATCATTATACAAAGTCACTAAGTAGATCCTGGCTTAGGGGTGTTTATGTGTATTAGTAATATTTTTGGTGTGGTGTTTATAGGTGTTCATAAGCACAGAGCTTTAGGTGTTACTTGGGAGAAATTTCTCCCTACTAGGGAAAGAGTTTCCTGAGATGGCAGTAAATAGATTTGCTATTTATCTGGCATTAAATGAGCAAACTCTGTTTATTGACTGTGAGCTAAAGTGGAATATTAAATCTTAGGGAACAAAGTGCTTCTTTCACATTTGACTATCCCAGGGAAAACAAGAAAATACTAGAAATTGTTTTGAAAACTGCCTACCGTTTGAACTGGTATGCTGTTCCCAAAGTAAGGGGTATTTACTTGAATGGCTTCTTTTGGTTATTAATTCAATTATTAGTTCATCAATATATATTGAGCACTGCCATGAGCCAGGCACTACTCCATATGTTTGGGAAATGTTGGTAACAAAAATCAGAGAAAGTTCATGACTTTGTGGAATTTAAGATGTTGTGAGATAGTGGATCATATATTCTCGTACAAATCATCTTATTAAAACTTAAGATTTTGTGAAGCAAACATAGCCAAAGGCAACAAAAAATTTTAAATGTTTCATAAAAATATATACTATTTCAAAGAAATGGCATTTAAAGTAGTTTTAGGAAGGCTAAAAGGTAGTATTTTTTTTTTTTTAGAACCATCAAAGATGAGTTTATGTAGCTCTTAAATGAAACTGACAAGACTCAGCTTTCAAGTTTTGGGGCATTAACTGTAGGTTATGTGTTTCTCATAATGAGAAACTAAACATCTTATATGACCAATTGAAAAAAAAGAACCACACGTAAGCAGTTTTAAACGTATTTATTACACTTATGTTGATTGGGTATACAAAGGACATAAAGATGCCTAAAGGTACCTTTGACAGAAAACTGTCAAATACCTATTATCAAACTATGCAAATTCTGTATCTCTTAATGCTGTTCCAACACTCTAATACCCTAGTGTTGGTGTCTGTTTACAGCCTTCCCCCATTTCTAGTGCAAGAATGAAGCCGTCTTGATGATATTTTGCTATTATGACTGCTTGTTGGACTCACATCCTAGTAGACCCTTCACTGACTATTTGGAGAGGCAGCAAGGGACAAGCCTGGGGCACATGGAGGCCTGGAGTCAGGTTCAGGTTCCAGAACAGAAAGAAAACACCCACTCTTTGCCCCTTTTTAATAACTGACTTAATTTTCTAATCCTTCCAATTTGGAAACACACATACCTTCCCTAGTCTTCTAGTAAGTCACTTCCTTTCCATATATAACTATAAAATATGCCTTTCCCCCAAAGCCTTTGTTTTAAATGCTACCTAACACATTCATGGGCTACTTCCCTTTACCCTCTGGTCTATGATTTACAAATTTACTCATTTTACTATGAGGATTAGCAAGTGAAATTAGGAAGATCATCCTACACCACTGAAAAAAATCCCACAAAAATAAAATGATTGTGTTGTATCACGAACAAGTATGATTTAACTTTTCACTATTTGGGGTTATTCATCCATATGTTTCCCAGCACTGAAGTCAGTCTTCTATCTGAGCATGTGCATAGCTGAAGTTGACCATGTCTCAAGACTTAACATTGTAGCATTTATGCTTCTGCATAAAACTCCTCAGGGGCAAGATTTTAGCTAATATGCAAGTAGCTGGATATTCTATCCATAGTGCACAATGTGTGGTAGGATGTAAGGAAAGAAAATGTGACTAAGTTGGTATCACAGTCCACTCATGGGTCTCAGCTTCGTCTGTGAACGAGTAAGATTAGACTGAAAATTTCCGATGTCTCTTTCAATTCTAAAATGTCAGTAATGCAGAGAGATTAACAATGACTACTAGAGCAAAGCAAATTACTTTGTGACAGTTTTGATAGTTGAAACTAGACAGCCATGGTGTTTGTGTACCTTCTCTGTGGTTAGAAAACCATACCCTGGCTCTGAACTTGGAGACCAGGTGTTTCCGCACTGGAAGCGAATGCCACTCCACACAGCCATGAACCAGTCTGGAGCTGCAGGTCACCAGCTGGTCTGACTCAGACCTCGTGTGACAGCAGTAGGTTTAGCTCCCCAAACAGAGGTCAAGGCTTTATGACAATGACCTCTCTTCTCTTTAAAGGTTTTCGAACCCCTTCTAGAGAAGGACATGTTTAATGGCTCAATTCAACAAACACTTACTGAGCACCTCCTAACTGTAAAAGGATGGTGTTAACTTCTAGGGGAATATATGCCTGCCCACCCTTCTCACCTTCAAGGATTACGTCCACACAGGATTCTCATCTCAATCATTTTGGTAACCCCACCTGACACCTTGCACAGTGCCTGTCTCACAGTAGGCATTAGAAATGGATCTGAGCCAACCATACACGGTCCCTATGCTCAGTGGAGTTCCCAACCCAGTGATATAAGAGAAAACCCTCATTGTTTTTTAAAACAGTTCATTTCCACAGTTTTTTTGATACATGTGTTTATTATGCTGTAAAAAGCAACACTACCTGATTTCATTTAAAATAAATATTTCCCAACTTCAGAATACTTACAACTTAAGAGTTTTAAGATTTGGTTCAGTTTGGGAGGTTCTGGCAGCAAATACATTCATAGCTGTACAATCCCCAGGAACAATCTAAGTCCAACATCAGGTCATTCAGTCCCTGCCAGACAACAGCATCAAGTGGTCGGGCTCCGCAGTTCAGGGGCAGTGGGGCAGCACGACACCCAAAGGTGAGAGAGAGCATTAGAACCGAGAGCCGCAGAAACAGCAATGTATACAAAACTTGAAATAAACATGACCATATAGAGCGTTCATGTACAGAAAAAAAGCACATACGATTGTAAAGCAAAACAAAAAGATCTTTGGAATATACAGATGGCAGCGGGTAACAGCACAGTCAGAAGCATTTAAACCAAGTGTGCTCATCGTTGTCGGCCAGCGGCCGGAGCGGGAACCAGTGTGCAGTCACAGATGACCTCGTGGGTAAATAAGGGCACTTCTAACTAAACCACAAAGATTTTACAAAATCGTTTTAATCAGAGAAAAGATGAAAACTATCTTTGTTCCAAAATAATAGAACCTCTTTTTATTAAAGAAAAGCCTCAAAATCATTGGTAATCTTTAAGCCACACAAATGGAACCATCTTAATGTTTCATTCTCATCACACTAAGCAAGCTGCTGTTTGAGCAGTTATTTCAGTTCAAGAGGATCTACCCCATATTATCTTGGGGGCAGTGCTGTTCCTCTGCAGTATTTTGTAAATGCTACCTGTCTGCATGGTTTGATAGATTCCTGGGCAGGAACACAGCAGCTGGGCTGGATACCCAGCTACCTTATTCCCACAGAGGCACGTGGGTCCAGCTTCGTGCCTCACGCTGCCCAGTTAGGGAGCCCTGGCCCCGGTACCACTGAAGGGGTGCTGTCCGGGGAACAGGAGGGCGAGGGCTGGAGCTGCTGACTTAGACTGGAAGCAGAAATTGAAACACTTGGAGGCTGCTAGAGTGGGAAATGGGCCATTGGGCACGATAAAGCTTGGAAGCAGCAGTGTGAGCCAATAGAAAAGAAAAAAGAAAAGAATTTGCTATATTAATGTAACAACTAGCATTCATGTGGTTGAGGTTTCTGCTCATTTCACTAAACACAGATTCAAAGAAGTCCTCTGTGTGTGTGTGTGTGTGTGTGTGTGTGTAATATCAGGTGTTCTCACTAACACACCCCTTTATCTTTGAAGTATGATAAAGTATATGTGCAATTCTTCCCCCAAACAAACTCTGGGTCTCAATTTAAATGAAATGGCCTTTTCTTATTAAACAATACAGCCCACTAAAATTATATACTAGAGAATCAGGAGAAAACTGGAGTGATCTAGTGGCCCCCAAACATCTTCATGCAGACTTTTCACGATGGGTTTAAAAACAAATGTTACTTGTAGCAGTTCCAATGCCGTCATGGTAACTGGTAACTCAGAGCACTTCTGAGTGTATCCTGGAAGCTGAAAAATATCTTCTGAAAGAGCCGCAGTAGCACATCCCTTCTTTAGGCTGAACATTTTGATTAATTGGTACTTAATTTGTCTCTGGTTCATCTCCTATAGACAATGGCCTAGTTATAGCTTGGATGCCAGCCTTGTGAGGAACGGTCTGACTCACTGTGGAAACAGGAAACCGCGCAGTGTGCCAGCGCCCGCTTTCCCGCCGAAGGGAAGAGGCGAAGAGCTAAGTGTCCGGGGAGAGAGGCTGACAAAGGGGACGTACAAAAGGAAATTTTTTTCAAAAGTATTATAACTACATTCACACATAGATTTTGGTCACCAAACATATCTTAAACAGATTCCCTGATCAAGTCTAATCAGAATTGGTCTATCCTACTAACAGTTGTTAACTATTATAGTTTTTAAAGTGACATCATGACGCTAGGATAATGGGAGACATTTTAAACACACAACCATAAGTGCGTATAGTTGTTCAAACACTCAAACTAAATCTATATTTGAAGTCATGAAAATCACACTGTTTTGCTTCTCAAGGCAGCCTCGACCCATGTGGACAGGCTGTATAACAGAGCTTAATTTATAGATGCAATTCAGCAGATCGTCACCAAAAACTGAAAATTCACAGAACACAAAAATAAATCATGAAGACCTCACAGATAAGCCAGCATTGGTAACTATTTCTTTTACATCAAATTATACAGTGCACGAGGTAAATATCACTCACATTATGGAGGGAGATCATTTTATTTCTATTTTTTCCCAAAGAGATCAGATTTGTCCTGTGCGTACAATGAAGAAAATTCCAGTAACACTGAAATGACAAATGTTGTAAAATATACATCACTACCAGATAGAAATACACACGTTCGTCATAGTTATTTTCCACAATTAAATAGGTAAGTGATTTAAATCTTGGGCTTAAGATCATTACAAAAGTCCATCAAGATTCTTCTGGACGGTTTGATTTTCCTTTCCCTCATCTGAATCTCCTTGAGGGGTGTACTGGACTTGGTATTCCTGGAGGATTTTAAATACGTCATGGTGTCCAAAGTGCAGCGCTTCATCCATGGGAGTGTTATTCCACCTAAACGAGTAGCACAGCATGGACTGGGTCACTGGGTAATTTCTGTACAGAGATGAAATCTAGCATTCTTACGTTTCAAATGCAGGTTAAAGGGCCATTCAAATTTAGCCATTTTAGCAATGTTATAAGTAAAAATTAATTGAAAAAATAGAAAGGGATTCATAATTCAAAAAGTGGTCTCAGAGACAACTTTGGGATATGGGGAGGAAGAGAAAAGTAGTATTCTACAAGAGGACCTCGTTCACATATCTAAGTGCTTACAGAAGGGAAGTTCTGGTATTGACAGATACTGTAGACTCCTCCAGATTCCTGAATTTTAACTTCATGAAAAGCTCAAAGGATCTCTCTTCAAATAAAATGCTCAAAGAAAATTCAGGTATATAGCATCCATCACCCTAGCCTTTGATAGAAAATTTGTGTTCCTGTCAGTTAAAAAATCACAGTAAATCTCAGGTGCCTGGAAATAACTATGACCTCATTAGGGCTCAGTCATACATTGTAGGAGAAGATCGGCCCCAGGGGAACTGACATGTTCATCATCTCTGGTAAAGATGGGACTCCAGGGCCAGCTGCACAAACAGAAGGATAACTTCCCTTCCCATTGTGTGTTTCTGGGGCTGTGCTCTTTAGAGGGATGGAGATGAAGACTGAAGATAAGAAGTGAAGAGCTGTCCTTTCTATTTCTTCTACCTCTGTCCTTAACCTTTTACTTCTTAAGGAGGCCACAATATGGATCCAAAAGGTTTTGTTTATAGTTTCATTTGAAAAATATTTTTGGATAAAATTTGATAACCTGTTCTTAATTTTAAAAATCAGGTAAGTAACATTTTACATGTATTTTTTTCCTCAAAAAAACAGAACAAAACAAAAAAACACACCAAAAACAAAACAAAAAACAACCCAGCTGAGTTGTTGCTTTTTACTTCTACATTGGCCTTCATTAATTTTTGGGAGTCAGTGGCCTTAAATGGGAGGTGGGGGGACTTTTCAGTCCTCTACAGCATATAATTATCTGTCTTTCGGGGGGGGGGATAGAATGTTAACTGCAAGTTACCTTTTTTAAAGCTCTTTTTTCCATGAAATAATGCAAAATATCAACTTTCAGAATATACTAAATCCACTCAAGCCTATTTTACAATTTTAGGTGACACTGATTCTGTGAAATAGAGGAAAGAATTGTCTTGGTCTAACTTACATTCCCAAATAGTTGAATATCTAGTTATCGAGTTACTCACTTAGCTAACTTTTGCTTCAGATGGGTACTTCTACTTCCATATTCCTACTGGCCAATTAGGGCAGAAAAAAAAGTTTGTTTTCAATCCTTAAGTATGCAAAGCACAGTAAATATTTCCACATGTGTTAAATAATGTTTTAGTTGGGATTATACACACGGATGAAGGGGGAAATACTCTTTAGCTTCTTGCTCTTGAAAGAGCCGGCATGGGCATTATATCTGGGTATAAAAGGGAGGATTGTCATCCTAACATGAGGTTTTAGAATACCGCCAAAAAGGTTATGATCTTAGATAACCAATGTGTTACCATGCTTAAAGATTGCTAACAATTTTCAGACACTGACCACAACTTTTCTGCATTTCTTGCAAGCTGAACTAATAAAAGCTAATTAAATCTCTAATTTAAAACAAACAAACAAACAATAAAACCTTACTAAATAGAAAGACATAATAACTAGAGAATAATTAGCATGCTTTAAACTTGATTCAGTCCTCAATTATCCAATCCAAACTCATTAATATCAAATTTCTCCAAGTATTTATTTCCTTCCACTCTTCTAAACCTTTATTCTCATTACTCACTGACTCATGGAATTAAGTGCTCCAAACAAAAGACACAGGGTAGCTGAATGGCTAAGAAAACAAGACCATATATATGCTGTCTACAAGGGACGCACCTCAGAACGAAAGATACACACAAATTGAAAGTAAAGGGATGGAAAAAGTATTTCATGCAAAGGGAAATGAAAAAAAAAATAAAGCTGGAGTAGCAATTATATCAGACAAAATAGACTTTAAAACAAAGGCTATAAAAGACAAAGACACTACATGATGATAAAGGGATCAATCCAACGAAAAGGTACAACCCTTGTAAACATTTATGCTCCCAACATAGGAGCACCTAAAAATATACAGCAAATCGTGCAGTTACAATGTGCCAGTACACGAGTACAGAGTTCAAGTGTATACATAAGCTGTGCTCTTGCCCCTCCCTGGACTGTCCACTTTGTGGTCAGCCTTTACTGCGTGATGAATGGCAGTTGGCCATCTGGACCAAGAGGGAGAGGAGAGGAGCAAAATAAATTCCTGGTCAATTTCTCCCACTAAAGATGGAGTGCCCTTCTCTTCTGTGCCTTCGAACCTCATTTCCTCCACACACTGATTAAAATCCAACTCCACAAAGCCTAAGAGTGACTCCATCAAAATCCTGGAATTTCAACAACTCCAACATATTCACCTTAGGGTTCTATAACAGTAATGTTCGTATGTGTTTTAAATGTGTTCCTATAAATGCCTATCTTGTCTAGTTAAAAATCCCATGAGGACACAATTCCTGTTTTCTCTTTCCAAACACAAAGAATTGTTTTCTTCATATGGTGTATTGACAGACTGTCAAACTAACTTGGAAAGTTCTACATAAGAAATAGGATATGGGAGAGAAAACGATCTTCCCAGCAGACACAAGGTGGTGGTTGTTGTTTTATACGGCCCCATACCAAGTTCAAGAATGTAAGAATGTCTTCAATACATGCACAGTGGATCTAAATACACCATCATGTAACCACTGTACCCGTGCAATAGAACCCTCGCTTTCCAGTGATATGTCGGAAGGTAGTATTGGTGCTCACCTATCCTTGGGGAAAGGATTTACTTTGCAGGCTTCCAGCAAAAATTTAACAACTTCCACATGACCTGTATCCAAAACAAAACAAGCAGATTTTAGTACAGACTAGAAATTAAGTCCAAAAAGAAAAAAGAAAAAATAGATGAGTGGCTCATGTAATTACCCTCTGCAGCAGCAACATGGAGGGCTGTTCTAGAATCATAGTCTCGCTGTTCCATGTCCATGGCTGACAAAGCAAATCTGAAAATTTGGAAGCATAGCTATTCATTGTATATGTGCATAAAATTTAATCCACACTCATAACATTTAAACCATCAGTCCAATTGAAAGTCGTGTGAAACCGGCGCCATCCTTCACCAGGCTCACTAATGGAAACTTGAGAGCCTATTCAACCAGAACACAAGCGTCTCGGCAAATGCCACTTGCCCTCTCTTCCTTAGCTTTGCTCTTTTTTGGTAAGAGGGAATGTTTGCCATCTCACAGAATTAAACTTCATTATATTATTGTTCAAAACTCGAGAACAGTGGCACAACTATACCAAAGCTTTTGCTTTAGAAGGGGCAGTAACTAATACCTACACTAAAGTGTTTTCACCAAGACTCCCATTCTTGAACATTTTACAGTCTACAGTTTACAAGTACTAATCAGACTTTGTTTTTTTAAATGGGAAGAGCACATTTTTTATTGAGATACAACATGTAAGTTTAAGATGTACAATGTGTTGATTTGATGTATCTATATTGCAATATAATTACCAACAAAGTGTTAGCTAACATCTGTATCGTGTCACATAATTATCATTTGTATTTTGTGGTGAGAACAATTAAGATCTAGTCTCTTAGCAGCTTTGAAGTTTATAATACAGTATTGTTAGGACAAGGAGTAATCAGACTTTAAAACAAAGGTCGACATTAAGCACATTTTTCACATTAAAGTTCAGTTGCAACTCTATACAAAGACCTTGTGGTAAATATATAATACTATGTGACCTTTCTATCTCTGGTGATCTGTAGAACACCAAATGCCCCTATTCGCCACCCCCTCACCTCCAGAGACAGTTATCACTTAGTGATACTTATCGCTGCCACGGGGGCCTGGGCGTTGAGAGGAAGTAGAAAAGGACAAGACTGCACAGCAAGCCTAAAGCACTGGAAGTGGAAATTTAATATAAATTTGGGTCTTTTTTATTAGAGGGAAATGCAAGTGAGATTTTAGCCTTAAGATGGCCATTTACCCAGAAACAACTGTATGAACATCTGTAAACCATATGCTAACCCAGCCTGTTAACATACCTCCGAAGTGCGGACACGTCTCCAGTGTACGCAGCAAACAAAAGGTTTATCACTGACTTAACCTGCGAAGAAAAGAAAGTTCAGGCTTCCACAGGGGAAATAAATACATAGAATGTGAAGTGTCACCGGTAAGTGATTTCCATGTGCTTGGAACACTGCAGCTAGGGCACACACACAAAGTTATCGTAAGCACACTTCTCTAACCAAAAACAAAGCACATATGTGTTATTTTCCTTCTTTTTTTTTAACAGAGGATTATGAGGGGAAATCCAACAATAAAGATAAGAGACATGTGGGAAGGAATGGAACGCTATCAATTGGCACGAAAGAATGGAAAGTTGTAACCTGTGAAACACACATAGTTGGAGCAACTGAAAACTGTTCAGAACCATTCTCATTTAGCACGCCTCAGGACTGTGAGCTGACTTGTATGCTCACAAAACTCACATCACATCATTGCTAAAAACTAAATTATGCTACATAAATGTTAGTTCCCTGCCAGCAGTCACTGTCCTTACCAATCACCAATTGCTGGCTTCTTTGGATGTCTTGAGACAAGATTTCGTATTAATCATCTTACACTTGAGAATTAGACTATATTTCACTGGGGAGACAGTCTTCAGTTCAATTCTCAGAGCCCATGACACTGCCTCTGCTCAGATGGTGGATGAAATCCCTAAGTCAATGCCGTTGAGCACTCCAAGACTTCAACATGTATCTTCTTTTGACAATTACCCACCCTCTTGCCCTTATAATAAGAAAAAGGCTAGTTTATCCCACAGACACTGGATTTTTTTTTTAATCTTCACCCAAGGACATTTTTCCATTTTTTGTTCGGATAGAGTGGGAGGAAGGGAGTGAGAAACATCGATGTGAAGGGACACATCGAGTGGCTGCCACCCGCACGACCCAACCAGGGCCGGGGACAAACTGCAACCGAGGTACGTGCCCTTAGTGGGAACCGAACCTGGGTCTCTCTGGACCACAGGCCGACACTCTAACCGCTGAACCAAACCAGCCAGGGCAGCACTGGATTTTGATCTGCTTTCATGAAGACTTTAGCCCTGTTTTTGAGAAACTAAATGAGTGAACACTGTTTGTAAATATTTCATAAATTCCCAGTATTATTTTATACTTTGCAACTTCGATAACAGTGGACTTAATGGTAGAAAAGAGAAGTTTTAAGTAGAGAGATGGAAAATAACCCAGCTATTCACAAACAAAACCACAAACAAAGCTACAGCCGTGGGAATTGCTTTCAATATTTTGACCTGGGCATACCTCCTTTCCCTCTATGGCTTCCCTTCCCCACAACGTACAAACTTTTCAATCAAACTGGAACCAGCCGTTGATGGACTCCTCCACTTTGGCATTTTCAAAATGTGTTCTGCAGAAACTAGGCCACACATGCTCCGTGAAGAAAAGGGTTCTGTGGCCAGATCTTTTCCTAAAATATTACATCCCCCTTCTTGGGGATTCATGAGCATATGAAAGGCTCTGTAAAGTTCTATAGTATAGGAACCTAATTAGCTGAGCACATCCCCAAAATTTTACTACTACTTACTATTATTTTTGACATCACTCCAAAAATAAGCCACATATTCTTATTCCTTCAGTCCATTAGCTTCCCTTCTGGCTACCCTGTTCTGCTTCTACCCAGCCTGTACCTTGTAGTCACTCCATCTCTTGCAAACCCGAAGTCCAGAAGTTTTCTCAATGGGAGTAAGGGAAAAGCTTAACAGAATGAACCAGAATGTTCTAGAAGCATACATAAGCATCTCCTCCCATTTCTACATTTCAGGGAGAATAGTCTTTTGAAACAAGTGTCCAGGTGATTTTTGATATGCACTCTTCTGGGTTATGAACCACTGGTCCAGAAGCCCTTAACCTGTTTTCAAATTGGATCCATTTGAAATCCACAATTCCCTTTGTGTTCTTGCCCCTGCCCCCTCCCCCCAAAAAACTGATGGGCTATTACAAATTATTCTCCATATTTCCAACTGCTTGATAAATTTTTTTCTTCTTGTCTCCCTTCCACACTTTCTTCAGACCTTTAATAACAAGGGCAACCCCTAAAACAGATGACCCTGACCAAACTTTATTAAAATAACAAACTGTTCTCACCTCTTCCTCCTGTTACACTAAATATCTGCTTCTCTTCTCCCTTCCTTCCCTCTAAACCTCAAAGCAAAAAGTATCTACCTTTCCTCATTTCTGAGACTTACTTCTTTCCCATTTCGTCAAACTACGTTCTCCAGATCCCCTACCTTTGCTCCCTTGTTTATCCTCTTTCTTTCTACCTTCAACGTTTTCCTTCACTGGTTCCCTTATCTCTGCCTTAACAGACACAACTTCAGCCTATTTTGAAAAACCAACACATGACCCCATTGCTACTGCTTTCAGTGCATATTTTCTGAAAGTAGTTTGTTTTTTTTAATTCCCTGCAAATTAACTTCACACCCACGATCACCTCTAAATAGTATTTGCAAAAGCTCCAGCAGCCTTCCCAAAGCCCCACTATCTCTGACCCCTGCAACACGCCCCACCCTCTCACTCTTAGTCTTCCATGATGCTGGTTATCGGATCTTGTCCTGTTTGCTACTTAGAGACATTTCCCATGTTCCACTGCCTAATAACAAAGGAGGTCTCCATCTTTCATGTTTTTCAACATCATCTCCCTCAAAGATTTGATACATCCCCTTTGGGCAAGATAAGTTCCCAATCTACATCTTTAAATCTCTGTTTGCAAGCCTTAACCCTGCAGCGCCACTTGCTTGCCATGCTGTCATTTCAAATTCAGAAAATAGCAAACCTCTCTGAAGCCCTGAGGCTCCCCGTCCGGGCTTCAAAAGTCCCTATCTGTCTTGCAGCTTGACACTGCCTCTAGGATGTTTAATAGGCATCTCAGACTTATGCCCAAAAAGAACTTGATTTCCGCCACCTTCCCTCCACTCCCCCACCCACAGTAGTTAGCTCCCTCATTTTGGAATGACACAATTCGCCCAGCTGCTCAGGGCAAAAACGGAGTCACCATGCAGGGCTGCTGACGGCGGCTGCACAGGTTGAGCCCTCCACAAGGATGCCCAGCCAGGTAGGCACACCCCGTCCATGTTCCTCTCACCCCACTGTGGTGTGCAGAACCCAGGAAGCAAGGGAGCCTTCACACAAATGTGCTGAGAGGTCTGCTTACACGAGAGGCAGAACTAGTTTTTTTCAATGGACACAAATCCACCATATAGACCCTAGAGGTATTCCTTGATTCTGGTTCTCACAATCGACATCTAGGTCAACAAATAGGCTCTTCCTCCAAAATATATTTGGTATCCCACCACTTCCAACCACCTCCACTACGGCTGCCCTAGGCTCCAAGGCATCACTTTTTTTTTTATCCTCACCCGAGGACATTTTTCCATTTTTTGTTCAGATAGAGTGGGAGGGAGAGAGAGGAAGAGAGAGAGAGAGAAACATCGATGTGAAAGGGACACATCGAGTGGCTGCCTCCCGCACAACCGACCAGGGCCAGGGACAAACTGCAACCGAGGCACGCGCCCCTAGCAGGAACCGAACCCGGGTCTCTCAGGACCCAGGCCGACGCTCTAACTGCTGAGCCAAACCGGCCAGGACCAAGGCATCACTTTAAGCTCTCACCTGGAGCCGTGCAATAACCTCCTAACTGTAGTCATCATGTGCCGCATAATGACGTTTTGGTCAACGATGAACGGCATACACCACGATGGTATGTCACAGAGCCTGGGGGTGTAGTAGGCTATGCCCCCCAGCTTTGTGTAAGTGTACTCTCTGATGTTTGCACAACCACAAAATCACCTAATGACACATTTTCAGATCGTATCCCCATCGTTGAGTGGTGCATGCCTGAATTCCTCTTGTTCGGCTCTGCTGCCAGGGATCTTTTGAAGACATAGATGGTGGCACTCCTGATTACTCTCCGTCATTCCTAGAGTGAAATTCAAACTCTCTACCATGGCTTTCAGGACACAAAATGCTGTAGTCCCTCGTTACACTGTGTCTTTCTTGACCACTCTGCCCCTCCTAGCTCCACCCCAGCCAGGCAGTCTTCCTGCTGGTTACCAGCTGTGGTGCTGCTGCTGGGTCTGCTCTTTCCCAGGTAGCGAGGAGGCTCCCTCCCTCCCTCCACTCAGGTCTCTACTCCAATGTCATCCCACAGACTCCAAGTACTGCCCTCTTTTCACACTCCTTATCCCCTGCCTTTTCTTCAGAGCACTTATCATTTACACACACACACACACACACACACACACACACACACACAACTTGTTTCTTGTCTCTTTCCCCTATTAAACGTTAAGCTCCATTTGGGCAGAGACTTTGCCTTTCTCTTCCCAATAACCCCCATGCCTCCCACGCGTACTAGGTACTCATTAAATGTGATAACTCAAAATGATAAAAAAAAATCTGTTTACTCAAATTAACACATTGTGTACTTTAACCTTACAGCTGTATGTATGTCTATTACATCTCCTTTTTTTTTTTAAATGTGTTCACTGACTAAATAAAAATTTTCTCCCAAAGCATTAAATATTCAAATTGTTAGCACCATTTGGGGATTAAATTACAATCATTATTAATTCTTCTACCTCCTGCCTGGCCAGTGTGGCTCAGTGGTTGAGTGTCGACCCATGCACCAAGAGGTCACCAGTTCGATTCCCAGTCGGGGCACATGCCCAGGTTGTGGCCAAATCCCCAGTGGGGGGTGTGCAGGAGGTGGCCAATCGATGTTCTCTCTCATCGATGTTTCTCTCTCTCTCTCTCCTTCTATTCATTCTTCTACCTCCCTTCACTTTACTTCTTCAAAAAGCATTACCAAAGTTATTCAGTTCTCCTCACCGGTACCCTGCTTCTAGTCCTTCCACCCTCCAGAACCTTCCCATGTACTTCTAATCATCTTCACAAAACATTGCTCTGATCACTAAAGGTTTCTCAGCAAGTGATTGTCCAAAAAACCCCCAAATCATTCCTGATAAAACTTAAATTCCTTAGGCTTGCATTCAAGATTCTTCAGTTTGCTAACTTAACTTTTCTC